TAGAGAAACTGAATTTGTGGCGTGGGTGTATGTGTTTCTTCTTCTCGTCTGTGTTTTTCCATCAGATGTCATCATTATACATGTATTTGAATAAACCAGCTTGCACAGGTGCGGAATTGTGCCTCCAATGTGACACAAATGGCACCTGCCCATTGTGGGGCATTTCCTGTCCGTTGATGTGACTTCACTGACGCTAGATATCGATTCAGGGCTAGGATCGCATCAACTGAGGAAGTTGAGCAATTGGGTCTCGGACCAAAAGCAGGTGGCAGAGTTAAGGTCAGGGGTCGGGGGCCTTTTGTTGCTTTGGTTCTGAGGTCCCGTAATGCATTCATTACTGTAGGTGTATATATCGTCAGTCAACATTTGCAAAAAGGAACATTTTACTTCCCTCAAAAATAAAATATCTACTCAGTGTTCTTTTTTTTACTGTCCACTTATTTCTCCAGTTTAAATGTGCATTTGTTTTTAGTCTGCCTAGACATTTCATTGTTGTCATGTCCTTTCTAATTTTTGTTTCATTCTTGTACTGTTTTGTGCTCGATACTTCTTCAGTCCACGATAATTTTTGCACGAAACACTGCAGTTCCTTGCTAATCCAAGTGATACACTATCTGTTTTGCGGAATATTGGAAAGCAAAGCCATGAAATTAGGTTCCGGACTTCGCGAGTCTGAAAAGTCACGCAAAATGGCACGAACGGAGAGAATGGATGAATGGAGAAAATGTCTCTATAAATTCAATCCAATTTCCAAGTCCCTCATCCCATTGAAAACATAGCAGGCTTACAATTGCGTTTCCTGTGCTATTTTTGAGTTCTATCTCCCAAAATAGATTCCTAAATTGCTATTTTTCTAGTAAATACTGTTATTCACTTTTGAATGAGACATAGACCACAAAACAAAAAAGATTGGCTAATGTATATTTATTGAATTATTACTTTATAAACTTTGAATTACATGTACTAGCTGCCAGTCAATATGTCTGTTCTCACTGGGTAGGTTGGGTGCCACCCCACAATCAGTATTGATAATGTATGGCACCGGGAGCCAGTCTGCTAAACAGAACTATTTGAGAGGGTTACAGACGTCCAAAACAAAAAAGGAAAACAGGAGCTTTCTAAATTGGAATAAAACGGACAAGCTAGAAATGTATTAATAGAAAACAATTTGAATTTGTTGAAGATCATGTTGAACACCACAAAAGTCATCCATTCCATGCCACCACAGGGAGCAAGAGATGATCCACATTGCATATGTGCAAAGTAGAAACGGGCCATGCAATGTCAATGCTTTAATGCAGTCCTTGCAAATGCACCTTTGTGTCCCATTTAACCTTATTTTCAATTTTTGTTTTGCTTTTTTTCAAGGAGATTTGGGCCTTTTTTTGTTTATGCTTATGATTTTCATATTCCTTAGCAAAACTGTGATGTTATCCCGGGCCGCGAAGTTGCTAGAATTTGGAATATTTCGCTGTCGTAAACTGTTGATACGTTGTTGTGTCAGTGCATCGCAGTAAGCCAACGAGCAAACCTCGCTCACAAATGTTTTCAATGAGCATCTTTTGGGTTCACAATTTGAATAGAAAACCCTAAACTGAACAGTGTCTTCCTGAAATGACATCACAGCAACAGCGCCCTCAGTTGTCCGGAAAAGCATGGACAATTTGAAATGTTTAAAGATGTGTAGTTTTCAATAAAATTAACCAAAAAGGGATGTCAAATTGTTTTAAGAGGAGTAGAAAGTTGCAGAAAATGTGTTCCTAAGAAAAATTCATCGCACGGCCCCTTTAAACACATGTCACGGTGCACATGACAATATGCCACATGTACTTGAAATTTTTTTATTTTTTGGGGGTGTTTTTTGGTGTTTTTTTCTTGGTTTAGCAGTGTTTCTGTATAAATACAGTCATCTAAAAATACCCCTTTAATCCTTGGTCTCTCTCCCTCGCAGGGAATAAGCCTGCCTTTTCCCTGATTTGATTTCACGAATAAATGAATTTGTTTTGAGAGAAACTTCTCCCTGTGAGAATAAAGATCCTTTCTCTGTAAAGTTACTTATTAATTTTTTTTTTTAATCTAAGGAGATTGAGCATTTTGGAATCAAATCTAAATATATTTGGATGTATGGTGTGTTTACTTGTCCATACTTGCCAAAAGAAGGTTATATTTTGGCATGTTTATGCCAATTTTTGAGACGTATCAAATAATATACTGAAATTGTGGATATTGGAATGTGTATTGAGACTGTATTATTTCTGTACTGTAAGGCCAATGAGACAAAACACTTTTTATTTATCATCAGATGAGCCATTAACTGTAAATATTTCCAAAAATACAAAATTGCAAATGATAACTTCATATCAGCACTATTTTTTTCACTGGCAATTTTTCACGTTGTAATTTTTCCTGGCAATTAAGTATTGACCCCCCCCCCTCCCCCGTCTGTTGAGAGTTTTTCTAATTGACGTTTGAAATCACATTCATTGGGACGAGAGGTCACTGCTCACTCGAAGAGTGCAAAATCAGTCAATAACAGAGCACTCTAGAAACGATGTGAACCAATTTCACAAACACCGCTATTCAGACTCGGACTCCTGGCAGTAAACAAGCGTTGGGTATATGAGCCAAGTAAGGGATGTGTTGGGATGTTCAAGTTCCCTCATGTGAATGGTGCTTCTGTTGAAAAGAAAGCAAAGTCAGTAGTGGATCTAAGGGGGGGGGGGTTGTTTGCGTTCAGTCGCTGATTTATGTTATGATACTAGTAAAATGAGGCCAAAAATAATACATGGAGTGGTCAAATTCCTAAATTGATTCTCAAATTGCATTATAATACAAGAGAAAGCAATACATTTCAAAATGTTCTGGGGGGGAGGGGGGGGGGGAGGGAGGGGGGGGGGAGATGTCCCCCCAAGCAGGACACACCTTTGACATGCCTTCAAAACAATGGAACTCGGTGAAGCATGACCAGACGTATGCATCTAAGATATTAATGGAAAGTTTACTGCCGGTAGTTTTTGATCAAACCATAATTGTGGTCATAGTTTGTTCATATTACCCCTTTGTTTGTGGGTTAGCATATTGTGGGACAGCCTGTAAATGTACACACACGTTTGTTTATGGTGTAAATCGAGGATCTTCTTTTGTTCCTCTTCCCTTTTCCTTTGTTTGTACACTAACTTTTTTGCAACAGCTCTCATTGTATTTGTACACGTTTTCTAATCAAGGTCGTCCTCGATTTGGTTCCTGTCCTCGATTCATCGATGATGTTGCACGTGTGTGTCCTCGATTTACACCATTCACAAACGCACGTACCTGTATGTTTTCTTCAATGTGACTTGTTCATCGGTCGATTTTTGCTAAGCTCATCATTGTTTAATGCAATGATTTCTGAATTGAAGCTTTATGAAACCAGGCCAATGAGCAAGAATTGTATAACATCATGGCATGTAAAGGCAGGAAGAGTTTGCCAATAATAAAGCACTCGACTCAGAAAGGCCATACATTTGGTGGCCACTATCGATGTCCCTCATTTACATTAATCACAGATTTCCCAAGTCACAGATTTCCCAAGTTAAGGTTCAGCATTCAGAGTCTGTCATTTCTTATCCCAGTCATTTTAATGTTGAAATCCTAAATAACTTCCTACATTTTATTAAGGAAAAATGTTTTTGACATACTAAGTAGAAAGGGGTCATTTGGAGGAAAAAAAGGTTTTTGCTCTAAACTGCTCTTCCTCTTAAACTTTTTGAGTAATCTGAGGAAGTAAACAGAAAAGAAAATTCACTATAGGAATCAGAAACTCTGCCTGGTTGGCCGGACACAAGAAGAAAATATTTAAAGAATGGTACAGGTTTATTTCAAACTCAAAGACTTAAACATTACGAAATGTTCATGTGTGTTTTAATAATAAACAAAGGGTAATTTTCATCTTGCATGTGACTTTAAGTAAAAAAAAAAGGTGTTGCCAATTTATTTCAAACTTCAAAATGTATTTATGCAACATTTGCATAAAAATAGGGCACATTGTAGCCCAAGTAGAAGGATGCCCAACATGTGGTGTCGCCTTTCGTTTAAGGTGGATGCAATGCTCGGCATTAATCTATATTCACAGATACCTGAGACAGTTTACTCATTTCTGTTGGTCCAGAGCCCAACACATGGGTGGTTTTCAACCACCATTAAAACACCGCTGCTTTCTGCGCCAAATCGTGCAGTACGCGCCTTGAGTGCGCCAGTTTCCAAATAAGGAGATTTTTAGCATTACCCACAAGAGGCAAATGCCATAGATATGGCAGGAGTGGTGTTTCACAAAACGTGAAGTAAAATTGTTGAACAAAATCGTTGGAAATCTGTGCATTTTGGACTTGTTTTGACTTTTTGACTGAATGGTATTTATGAATGGGAATAAATATGCTAGGTCGGTATTAAACCAACTAGGGACCTGGTTGCCGATAAAGATCCTCGCCTTCGTCTCAGGCCATGATCTACTTCTGGGCCTCTATCCGGTTTTAAATGTACTTGTTAAAAACTGGCCAAGCACATATTTATTCCCTTATTGTAACTTCCTCATCGAATGAAGATATTCGTAGAATTTTTTGTTGTTTGTTGTTGAAAAATAATATTTACTTGAAATTTTTATTGTGAATTGCAGTTAAACTGTGTTCATATGGGAATGAAATATTAAAACTACTGTTTTTTTGTTGAATCACTCTTCCATGGGCATAACTTATGGAGCTGCTTAAAGAAAGGATGTCCTTAAACAAGTTACTGGCCAAAGTGCGATGCAATGATACCATTTGTGACTGCTTGTCAACTGATTCCCGTGTAACACTTGGATTTTTTTATAAGCAGTATGTTTTGCTTAGCTGCTCCATGAATTGGGCCCAGATTTCTTTTTTATCACTGTAAACGATCCACAGCGTTTATGTTTTGTTAACCTTCAACCTTTTTTCCAGCTAAGAAATGGTTTCAAGTTTGTTGTGTATTCCGTCTGTCCACAGACACTGATGCCACTCAGACTGATGCCCAGTCAAGCCTGAATCAGCTCCGAGATTTACCCGAGTACCGCATCAAGACAGACTCCCACACCAGCAGCCGGACCAGCGGCAGCACCGCCTCCAGCAAGTCTCGCCGCAAGAAGCTTGCCGCCAGGGAGCACAAGTCCAGCAAGGAATATGCCCGCATTGGCAAGGTTGGTTCATTGGCATCCAAGACCTCCTCCGTGCTAGGAGGGGAGCTTCCGGTAGGAGGGCTCCTGGATCTCTCCCAAGAGCTGGAGTCCGAGTTTGAGAGGATCAAACGGAAGACCCTGTCACCTGATGAGGATAGTCAAGCTAGCCAGGGGGAGGAGAAAGAGGCCCTGAAGTCACCCTGGGAGAGGAAATCTCAACAGAAAAAGAGAACTGTCCCCAATACGTATGTACAGTATCCTCAAAGAGCATCGTCATCAAGTGCTACAAAGAGCAGTGACTCTCAAATGAGCAGAAGCAATCTTCTCTCTGCTTACTATGGGAAGACTCCAGATGAACCAAAGAGTGCTTCCAAGAATAGTTTGGGAGGTGAACTTTCCAGAGAGAGTGAGGATTCGGTCAGGGCAGTCCGTGCCTCCAGTGACCCTTACGCTCCTGCCATTCAGAGTCTCCTGACTCACTTGGAGTCCCAACGGGCAGTATCGGCAGAGCATGTCAGCAAAGCAAAGTCTGAGGTCTCAAAAGCTAGGACTTCATCCTCTGGCTCTGCAACACCAAGTCGAGCAGACAGCAATAGATCTGCAGGAAATGTTGCAGCTCCTGAGAAGCCAACATCAACTCCTGCCAAACCTGTTTGGCTGGAAGGACCCCTCCTTGCTAAATCCAAGCCCAGAAAATCTTCGGAGAGATCTGGAGAGCCTTCTTTTAAAAGTGCTTTTCCTAAACAATCTTGCCTGGCTGCCAGTAGTAAGCCGTCAAGCTTAAATATAGAATTATACCTATCCAGAAAAGCAACACCGGAGGAGGTATTGAGGCAAGAAAGGGCTGGTAAAACGTCAATAAATGTCAAATCTGAACCAGGATCTGCAAAACTAACTTCCAGTGTGTCTCGTACAGACAAACCTGAACCTTGTTCAGCGGTGAATAAAAAAGGTGCTGCTGCTTCTGAATCTGGTGCATTTCAAAACAAAACTGCTCTACCATCTGCCTCTGGAACGTCCTCAGAGCCTGAAGTAACTGTAGCAGAGCCTTCCTCAACTGATGAAACACCTCTCCAAGGAATCAAAGATGAGGGCTCTTCTTTGAATAACACCTCAGTTTCTAGTGTGGTGGATTCCAAGCCTAAAGCAGCAAAGGATAGGTCGGTTGATAAGGATTCAAGCACGGATTCTCTTGTTGACAGCGGACAGGGCAAGAGCTTGCAGCCCAAGACACTAATGAGCATCTCATCCCTGAGGCAGGGAGAGGTGAAACAGTTAGACACGGAGTCACCTTGGGAGGTACGCCAAAGTGGCAGCACCCCAAGTCCCGAGGCCAGAGCTGTTGACAGCAACTTGTCATCTATTGATAAACTGAGCGTCAGAGCCACAGTTGACAAACCAGTCTGGGAACCAAAACAAATGACAGACCAGGCTTCAACTGTTGATGGTTGTGGGGATGCCCTGCCCATCCCATCTGGGCACTCTTGTAGCCTTGATGAACCTCCAACATCCCTTGATTCTCAAGATACCGATTGTTCAGGGGAATGCAAGAAACAGGATGCAGCCAGTAGCAACCGGATAGAACTGGCTACAGCCGGTTCCACCCATCCCATCTGGGAGCGAGGCGACAGCAGGAATGTGGATGGGGAGGAAGGGGACAACCAAGTGTGGCAGATGTTTATATAATGACACTAAAATTAGTAGAGTCAATAGTCCTCAGAATAAATTGCAAATAATGCTTGATGACATTTGTTGGCTATTCAGGGTCTTTTTGCAGGAGGCTTGTAGGGTCTTCTTGCAGGAGGCTTGCCAGTGGTTAGGTTTAAAACCTTCTTTCATGCCCTGTGGCCAATTTTACGGAGTTACCAAGAACCAAAATTTAAAATTAAGCATAGAACTTTCTACTCACAGAAAATATTTACCGAGCAAAAGCAGCTAATATCAGCTAAAATGTCATTGGATGTATTCTTTTTTTGATTGGTTCTTAGCTGATGTTTTTTTCTCAGGACATAAATATGCTGAGCACAATTTACTTCTGACCAGCTCCTCGGAAATTTGCCCTGTTTCTTTTTCCACCTTTCCAACTCTATCAAAAGCTGTGTTCACATTGCACTTTTTTTGGTAACATTAAGAGAGACTTTTTTCAACCTAACCAAATTAAGTCCAGTATCGACTGTCAATTTTAATTTTTACGGTCCGTAGCGGTAAGTTTTACAGGGCCAACTGGGTCGCGGAAGAATCACATGTACATTGCTAGTTTTACTTAATGTACTTAATGAAATACTTTCCGTGGCCCAAAATTAATCCGAAGGATTATTGCAAAGGAATCTTAACAATCACTCGTGGTAACTTTTTGCAAAAGTAAGTCCAATGTGAACGCGGCTAAAGAGGTTTAAAAAATATTTTTTGAAGTATTCAATTTTTTGTAAGCTTCATGATTTCTTGAGTCGTAATCACAGAAACCCAGCCATTGCCATGGCCCCTCTTGCAGAAAAATGAGTTTCCCATGATGATTTCTTGCAACAAATTTCAGGACATTGGAGAACTAGTGCTGTCTTCTCTTTTATCAAGAGGGCTTCTTGAGTTAGTAGTTAACAGGATGTGTGAGAAAGTGCCACACAACAGTTTTGATTGATCGCTACATTTCTGCCTTCTCAATTTGTACATTGTACCTGTCAATTCATTGGTCACTGTGTCCAGATTATTACATAAAAATTACCGGCCTTTACATATAGATGGACGACATTTGTTCATCTTTTTGTTGATTTATATATGCTGTCAGACAACTAATGCAATGTAGGATTCGAAAATAATTCACAATGAAATGAAATCAAGATGAAGGAATTATGCTAACATTAGATTAAGGATATCATGACATGCCTTTTTTGTACACTTGATTTATATTACAATGCCACTGATCTATTGAAAATGCAAGATAATTTACTGCGTGGATAATTTATTAAATAATTTTGTACTTGGCGAAGGCCATTTGTGTATGGCAGCAGCCATCTTTGTATGGTTCCCCGTATGGCTCCATTTATCACTAACTGGATCTTTGGATGATTGAAACATGAACCAGACTATTTCTCAGACAAGACCCTTTGTAATTTGCCAAAGTTGTCTTATTGGAAGTAAAGCATGCTTGTTGTATTAAACTGATAGGGATATAATGAAAATATCACAGAATTTGAAAGATTTTTAAGACAGGAATTTATAAGGATATGCCGCTGGACTATTCAGTCGTAAATGTAGGTAATCCCTCAACAAATAATGTGTACAGTATTGTACATATATACATTATAATAGGTGCACATATATTCAGAAATGCATGCAATATTTAAACTTTAAAAAGTAAGTATACACAGTGCAAGATGAATTCGTTTTTCTTTCCAGTGCAAATGCTGTGTGTGATGCAATGTAGTAGGTAAGTTGGCCTTGCGCAAGTCTACTTTTTCTTTGTTGTAAAAACAATGCATTTTAATTGGGGTTTTGTTATTCCACAAAAATTAAGCCTAACAATGTAAGATTGCAGTTGTACAGCAAAAAAAATATATACACTTCTCTCGCTTATACTTATGACCCTGACTAAAAATGACCCATTGAATCTGTTGAACTCCAAAATGGGTCTCTCTGGACATTAAGATTATTTTTAATTAGGTTTGACATTTTCAGTTTTCAGTGAAATTTGTGGAACATGTTTCTAAATTAAGGAGTGAATGCAGTACTCTGCATAAAATTCACCATTGCAGCCTCGGTGAAATAGCAATTGAAAACGTGTAAACAAAAAAATTAAATGAGTTTTGGACAACTCATTTCAAATTTTGTTCAGAAAGTAAAGACACTTTTCTTAAAAACTTTTTACGCAATTAAATTGGCATCGAAGTACATGAACATGTAGTTCTTTCTTTCCGTGCTGCCCATTAACAGCTTTTAAAACTTAAGTGTTTTTAAAAAAAATCCATTATTTAGTGGATGTCAAAAACATCAGATTTTTTTTTTTATGGGACAACGAGGCCTGTCCCCATGCAGAGGAAGCGGATTCTGAATTTACCTTTAAACCCTTTTTATCTTAAAAGTGATCGCCCAAAGTGAATATCCTGTCAGTATTACGAGCGCATCAGTCACGATGCCTATAATTTCATATTACTACCGGATACATCTTGAATGTGATGGATGCAGTAGAGACCACTGGATGCGACACCATTTTATGGATGAACCGTGGCCCAGTAATCCTCTGGTTTCATTTAATATAATCATTCGTTGTATTGAAGTTAGTGGGTATGCATTTTCTTTTCTCTATATATAAGGCACTTCTTTATAATGTCCAAGCGTAACCAATGCACAGATTCACTTGGTTTTAATGTGCAGATCGTTAATCCACGATCGTGTAGCACGGTTTATGAAACATTTCAGTGCAAAGATTTTGTTTAGCAAAAACAGAGGAACCAACAGAGTCATTTGCATTTTACTAGGAAGAAATATTCAGGCCAACAAATAATGTCAGATACTGCCTGGGTAGATTGACTTGAACCTTTCCCGACATTGTTGTCATTTACTCGGACTTGATCCAGCTTTGTCCAGACTGGGACCTTTTTTCCCTAAACTTTTTTTTTATGCCACCTGGTACAGACTTGAAACATGATTCTTTTCAGTACCAGTTCCACATCTTTTACTCGGATGGTATACTTGTGGGGAAAAAACTCGGGCAAGTCATACTTACAAAATAAGACCATACTGCGTCCCATCTCTCGCTTGGCCTCGTTGTTCCAATTCGTGCCTTGTCCTGTTTTCATACCAATTTACGCGAGGGTTCTGCATAACATTGGATGCATGGCCATGGAAAAACCATGTTAAGCGGCCCTACATAATGCAGCGAATGTGTCTTGAGTGGTGTCATGTTTTAAACATCCCCTCTATTGCAATGGGATTGAAATACCTGTTAACAGATAAAGAGAAAGTGCAAGAAACCTTAAAGTGTTCTTGGATGTCAAGTCCTTAGCATTACATTTTACTTTTAGATACAAGCCCGCAAAACGAGATTTCTATTACCATCTGTCAGTAAGTGCATGCTTCTGTCTAAGAATAACATTTGATATTAGTCGAGATATAAAGCACGTATACCCGTAATTTCAAACTGATTGATGTTATACTGTTTGCCTTTTGAGGCACGAGAATTGTAAATGCTCTTGCGGTGTACTACCGACAACATTAAAATTTATATATGGATTGGATACCTATTTAATATCACTGCAAATCGTTGCTATATTAATAAATACAAGGTGGAGATAATACTGAGGTTTCTTTGACACTTTCTTTAAAGGTTTCACGCGAATGAACTGTATTGCAGTGCGTACTGCTGTACTAGATAGTTGGTTAATCCATACACAATTTCTTTCTGACCTCTTAAATAAAGCGCCGAGTTATACACGGTGTATAAATGAGGTTTCCCATATCTGCGTAGTGATGAGGTCAAGTTAACGAAATCGCTTACGAACCAGCATTCAATTTCATGTGCGTTTCCTAGCGAACACAATTTAACGGTAAAAATACATGAAACTGGTAGGCAGTCACAAAAAAATGAAAGACTGCCCGCATTATCATTTTGTACACAGCGCGTGAATTCATGGGCGTCGCCAGAATTTTTTTCCAGGGGGGGGGGGTGCAAAGCAAATTTTCCCCAAAAATTCCTTATTTTTTTCATTATACAATGTATTCTCATTTTATCATTTTTCCGAGCGTGAGCAGGGGAGTATTTGCCAACCCCAACCCCCCATCAAATTAATACCAATATGGCTTGGCACCCCTTATTCCTTTTTCCCTTTTTTTTCGTTTTCCAGGGTGATTATACTAACCTTAACTGACAAAATTCGAATCCTTCATATTCAGAAACCCGACAGTAATGCAATAATTGGAAACCACATACAGTCCTGCGGAGTCATTAACTCTTAAAAAAAAAAAGTTTAAGTAGTTTAACAAAGTCTACCACCTGGGAGGGAGCCAATGGGGGTAGGAAACAATAATTGGCGGGGGGGGGGGGGGGGGCTGTGTAGGGGGTCTTACTTCTGGAGTGTGCACATGGTGGGTTTCCAACCGGGGAAGAACCCGATGGGGTGGAAACGGTTTGGGTAACTTTATATAGGGGGCCATAATTATATTCCGAAGGTGGAAACATTTCACAAACTGGGGAGTGCCACGGGCGGATCCAGTCGGAGGGGGTGAGCAACGGGGGCTAGCTTCTTCAAACCAACCCCAACCCCCAACCCCCCCCCCCCCCCCCCCACCCCCAAAAAAATCCCCTAATTTTATATTTTTTAAATGGCCTCGCAATAAAGGCAGGCACTGTGTACACCACCATCTTTTCCTCAACAAGATTTGGTTAAAGTGTTCAGAAATTGCCTCATATTGCACAACAAAGCATCTAGAATCCAAAAAAGGCCCCGAACCCCGCGCCGTAATTGTTGGGACCCACTCTTTGGGGGACCCCTCCAGCACTGGTTGTGCGGTAACACTGGAAAACATAACCAAATTACCTCGACGGTACAGATAACATGCGCTGAACCTCTGCAGTAGAATTGATTTAGAAAAGAAATGTCTCCCAAATATTGAAGAGAAACACGAAAAAGCAGGAAAATATTGTTTACACAAGGTCTCTGATAGGCCTAATGCAAGGCAGATAATATCTTGTGTGTGCGGGGGGGGGGGGGGGGGGGGTTCGCAGCACTGAAGCCCAGGAGCCGGAATTCGCAAAAAAATTACCCTCCCTGGATTGTCGTCTCTCTGCCTGTTTCCAGGGCAACACTCCCCAGCTATCTAGCAATCCGAGTGCTGCAGAGGATGTGTGGCAATTGTTTTGTTTTTAGACGGAGAGAAACCGTGATGTCGATAATGAGACACAAATTCCTTTAAGAAGAAACCGAAATGGACGTTGAGCTCTGTGGCTTAATGGATAAGAAGTCACGAACCGACATGCGATTTTTTTGCTTTTATCTAATCTTACTCGGCCATCGAACTGTAGCTTGGGATGTTTTTGTTGCTAGCATCATGCCAGAGAGCCCCACGTCACTTTGACCGTGTACGCACGTTTTGTTTTCCCTCTCCTGCTGATAGTTCACGCTCTTTTAGGCTTCCTTTTCAAATCTGTGTTGAAGTCCTGTCTTCATCGAGCCGACAGTAACCCAAGATCTGAGTGCACTGTAGCACAAGCACGTTTGAGACCCAAGTCTTCGTGCAACACGCATACTGCATAGGACGACATTCAGTGTTATATCCAGAGATGACTCTTCAAGAAAGAAAAATGAAGCTTACAAATAGTGTTATTCTCAACTAACTCTTGCCAGGTCAACATGGTCTCTTCTGTCCGTGCTTATTATGACTTAAGTTTGGACCGTTGTGTAGCTCAATTAATGGTGTATATTCGGCCTGATTTCGCTGAAATTTCACTTTCATGTTTTATGTTGTTCATTTGCTATTGCAAGTGTCTGGTTCACGAGAAATCAGAACTTTCAACAAAAGACTGACGCCGCATAAACTGAATATTATTCACTGTGTGAGATCATTACTAAAGATTCATAAGATGGAATTTGCGTCGGGGTGATCTAAATCACTCATTCATCAATGTAATCAACGCAGTTATTAGAGAGTTTTGGCAACCGCGAAAAACGTTACATGTCCGTACATCCGTATGGCATAACAAGACGTGTAATACGTGATGAGGCATTCAAAATTCAGTTTGGGCATCGTGCAGCTAGCTACGTACACGTATCCGGTATGTGGCACCAGATCAGGAAATGAACAGAAAATATGCCACATAGTTTATTTAGTTCAACACCAGCCTGGAATTGTTTTTTTTTTACACGGCAGGTTTCATGGCCATAAAAGTGCCTTCATTACTACAACTTTGCTTCACTGCTGTTTTTGAGTTTCTATCTTCAAGATTGAGAATGGAATCAATTCCTTTTTTTAACTTCAGAAAAACTGTTTAATTTAACCAATACTTTCTGGGCTATTGAAACATTTAGTTTTTTAAACAATGACGTACAATTACGAGCACTTCATAGGGCCATAAACCCTGCCTGTAAAAAAGCCCAGGCTGGCACGTGGTCTAGTACTACGTAAGTATAACGTTACGCCTCGCTTGCCATGTTTTTCGTACATAGGCCTATTATAATGCATTAACCAGTTACAACATCATGTGATGTCACAAAATGATTTAGAAACCACTATTATATTCACCCCATGCGTCGTGAAATTAAGAATGATGAGGTTTCAGAAGTACCATTTTGGCACTAAATAATTTGCTGTAAATGGCTCAAATGTATATACGTAATGCTCCCGTATCAGGCGGCTTCCACTAGGAGCACTTTCCCGCATCACGTGTAAGAAGAACGCACAAAGCGATGACGTCATACGCAATACGGATACGTCATACGGGCGAGCATTTTGAACTTAGATGTCGCGCCAGCCTCAGATATTTTTACATGGTGATCCTAATAACGCACACGTGTTTGAAGAACGTTTTGGGAAAAAAAAGTGTTACTGGAATGACGACTTTTTAACAATCTTCGAGGCTGGGATTTCAAACGACAACCTAAATCCCAAAATGTTATGAAACGCCAACATCTTCACCTCGACGCGAATCACGCTATTCCACATCTTCACTACAGACATGACATGAAATCCCCGAAACCCGTTGATTGCACAAAATAATGCCCTAAGATGCTAACATGGACGAGTAAAGTGTCACGTTTTCCCCTCGTAAACGCCAATCGTTGGCCGACTGCCAATAAAACTCGTGCTGCTTCAATTATCAAAGATTCAGCGTTGGAAAACACATTTCCAGCAGCGGTACCTATTATGATGCAAAACCATGCTGGGAAGATTGAAATTTGTGGCACCAAAGGAATAAACAACGCCGTCTGAAATCATGTCTTTATATAAAAAAAAAACAATCGCGTTCTTTCTGTTTTATTTTTGCAAAAGTCTCAACCTCAATACTACAATTTTAAAACCAGTTTCTATCCACCCAAAAATCACACAATAGTAATTGCGAATCCCTAGTCAGCTGTTTTAGTTTGGTATAAAATATCGGGATTATAATTTATTCGTATTGAAATGTTTTTCAGTGCCGGTTTTAAACAAAACCGACATTTTGTAATGAATGAACAAAATCAGTATAATGAGACTTGACAAGTCTAAATAACGTCACGTCGAGAATCAGTCAACTGAACTGAGCTAACCGATCTTTAAAATGCCGTTTTCGTAAATCAGTTGCGACTGCGCAAGTCTTCATTCTCATATACGTGGTGACCAGACAAAGCGCACGCACGCACGTCCGTATACATTTTGCCCCGTGGTGCTGACAACCAGTCTGTGAGATGCACACGTACGATGAGGACCGCCTAATGAAACAAACCTGGAATAAATTCTATGGTAGGAATTGAATGATGAATTATACTCGCAGATCATGCAGTGGTGGAAGGATGTATCGTCAGCGGATGAGCTGTGTTTCTCCCTACCGCTCTACCCACCGGGTCGGCCGTTGGTCACGGCCGACGCCCTGCCTTGCTTCCCGGTGCTGGACGAGACTGTGGAACTCCTCATGTACTTCCTTGGCTGTGCCGCAAATCTCGTCACCGTCTCACTGATCCTGTGGGGAGGAGCTGGCAAGCGCTCGCAACCCACAGGAGCAGAGAGCGTCCCGCGGCTCCTGGTCTTAGCCCTGTGCCTGACGGAACTGTCGTTCCTCGTCTTCGGTGAGACGGCTTGGCTGGTGAGTTTCCTGGTCGGCAAGTGGACCGGAGGCGTCCCGGCCTACCTCTACTCCATCTTCGTAGTGGTTGCTTTGAACAGGTTCTCCAAGTGCATCGTGGTGCTGATGGGGATAGAACGGTACCTTAGCATCAAGAAGCCATTCTTGTACGATCATCAAGTGACTCCCCGCCGTATCGGATGGGCCATGCTTGCGATGATCGTGTACTCTCTGTCGTTAGCAGGGTTCTTTCTAGCCGGGGTGACCACCAGGACGTGGCAAGCCTGCCCCGGGCCGACAACGACATCGAACCCCGCCGACTGTCCGCCCAACGACATGGTGCCGTCTCCTAATCCTCAACACAACACTTCCACTAATCAAACCACCGTAGTTCTGATGTTTTCAACTGCGGAACATGCTTACGAGTACTTCTCGACCGTGGAAAGTGTTCTCATGACTGGGATTCTTATATCGTGCAACGTGGTGGTAATCCGCTGCATGCAGAAACTCAAAGCTCACTTGGAGGTCGCTTGTCCGCGGAATCGGGCCGAGTACGTCAAGCAGGTGGATATGATACGCGGGGCGCCGGCCGATTTCTCGCGGTTGATGGTGGCAGTTGCGGTAGTCTTTGTTATTTGTATACTCCCGTACGAGGTGAGAATTTAGAATCACAATTTCATAATAATTTGGTACATTATATAGTGTTTCCTTCCAAAGTCTCAAATCGCTGGAGAATTATTATATGAGATGAGACCAGTTTTCTGCAGCATCTCGTGATCACCGCAATCTATAGTCTTTACCCGCACATGTACACCTTTTTCACTCCTGTGTGGAGAAAGGAAATTGTGGTAAAGTGACTTTCTCAAGAACACAAGCACTATGTTCCCCGTCACACATGGACCACCCCTTTCTCTTGATTAAAAAAGCATAGAAAATTTGCCTTAAAGTGTGCAAATGTTGATCTTTCATCCGGAACACAATAAGCAATTCGCACTTTACATGGGATCGCCATAATGGAACAGAACTGAGTCGTTACTAGTTGCTAAGTCAGAATGTGAGAAAAAAAATGTGCAACAGAAATTTCTGAAGTTAGGTCCTCGAAAATTTGTTCCTTCCAGAAAAAAGTTTAATTTCAGCAACTCAAACTCCCCCACGAACGACCGCGTTTTCTTCAATGTATTCGCCAAATATGCATATTACCTGTTCCCCTCTTTTTTTTTTCTTGCCTTGTGGTTGAAAGAGGAATGCTTGGCATTACACCCTACCTATTTCTGGCCCACTTGTGTTCTTTTTGTTATTGCTTGACCATTCTTCAAACAAAATGTAGCGAGCATCCTCCTCAACTTATCGACCGCTCTTAATTGGCATTTAATTGAGTTGTAAGCCCCCTTGAGTAAGTAGCCAAACAGACGCTGCTGCTGTGCGAACGGGACGAGGCTCCTTCACTGTGCTTGACTCATATTTCTGAATTGGTTACCATGTTGGTGGTACCTCTGTTTTGATTCATTAGAACCCGGTCGCCTAGCGAGAAAGCCACACAAAGCCTTTTGATAGTGAGACATCCAAAAGTGACGCCATTCATATGCTGCATAATGAAAGTCTCATGTACTTGGCTGTTTGAGATTATGCCGTAAATCCAAGTAAAATCAAACTCCTATTATTACTCAAACCTCATAGCCTTCTGTGCGCACAGAATGGCCTCAGCCGGCAAAGAGCTTAACACAACATAAAGGCCTGATGCACCTCTGCACATTGCTCAATGGTCTGTTGCACGTTTGCGTGTGCCCTGCCGTAACAAAATAATTTGTACGGCATTAATAATGCAAGGTTTTATTTTCACTTCAAACTCAACTTCAATTTCATACATTCTGCTTATGAAATGTTCATAGTTATTTCATTCTTCAGTTCTCTTAGTCCTTTTAACTTGTTTCAATTCTTGTTAAAAGTAACTTTATAGGCTACATGCATTTCCCTTAATAATTTGTATGTCTCAAATACAAACAATACATGTGTTAGCCAAACGTGGGATTTCAAATTTCACAAGAAATGGTACTAAAACTACATATCATTTATTAAAAATCGTTGAACCTCCGGCTCAGGGCAAATCTGTTCCCCTTAATGTCATCATTTTGTTACACGGCAACTTGGAATCTTTAATAAAAATCAAACTCGTACTATCAGCTTATACGAGACTAGAAGATAGGCCTATATGCCATCTCAAATATGGATACGGTAAATTTGGGTAAACTGAGCGACAATTGCATTCCGTTTGCGGGCTGAAATGTAACATTTCTGCCCGTAATGGCCATTTGCAACGGTCTTGTGGTACAATATTGAATTAAGTTAACGTCATTCAATCCGTCAACCTTGACGACACAAATCGGGGAAAGAGGACAAAGAAATGCCCCACTTTAAATTTCAATGGGAAACTAAAATCACAAAAAGAAAAGAAACAAAAGAAAGGAAGAAAGCGTCCGTGCATTTTAGAGTCAAGTACCTTTTACTTTACAAAGGGCGAATCTATGCGAAGAAAAAAAAGTCTCGGCGCAAAAAACTGTGATCACACAAACTTACAATTTCCGGTTTTTTTTTCCAGAATAGTCTCCTAGTTTGTGTAGCCAACATACTCTAATCACCGTGAAAGGTTTCCCGGCCCCTAGGGGTTACCAATTCTATTCCATGCACTTCTTTTTTCTTCCCTCTCATTATTCTTCTGGCGGCCAGCAGCATAATGTCGTGAAAGCCATTACCTCCTCAAAATTTCTTCGATTAAAATATTGCGTGCGGAGATGCTTCCTCTGTCACGTGACAATTAAAGCCGACGACTGTTTTTAACATTGCCCTGCATGAACCAAATCTTCACTTTTCTCTCCTTGTTGGAAATTTTTTGATTTGTAACCTAAAACCCTTTAAGCTATGCACCAGTGGAGACGAGGGGAAATGGTTGAGCAAGCTTATTGGAAAATTTACGCTACTTTAGGTTGTCAGGGATAATGGAGGCTTAGATCAATAAATCAGAAATGCTTGGGCCAGATACGGAAGTGTCGACCGCAAGGCCACGTGTGTAGCAGAAACACTTACCTGTGATTTGAAACACGGGAAGTAGTAAACCGCGTCGATCGGAATGGATGCGAGAAGAATGTGGGGCATGGGCCTACGTGCAAGTCTACGGTTTGTGTTTGAAGCCAACACCCCGCCCCATTCACTTAAAAAAGATGAGCGGGAATTGGGTTCTGCGTTAAGAAACAATGTGAACAGCTTCGATTAGAGAAAAATATTATACCATTAGTTTCCGATGTTTCTTGCTCAAAATTATACCAGGCTAAGGGCAAACTACGCCCTCCAGCGATGGAAATGCGTATGATGGTTGTAAGATATAACTGAAGTGTGGCCTAACACTTGCATGAGTCCGGTGTGACCGCACTTTGAAAGTGTTGAATCAAGCATAATAAATGTTCAATCCAACACTTAAACAGTTAACTTGACATAGTAAATGTTGATTCAACACTTTTAAAACACTTTGATAAAATGTAAAATTAACACTTCAAATTGGATTTAACATTTTTGCTGGATTTAAAATTTAAAATGCAGGATGCAACACTTTCAAAGTGTGGTCACTCACCGAACTCATGTTGGATTCAACACTTCAGTTTTTATTTAAACTCACTTATTGTAATCATTGGATGAATAGAACACGGGAACCAGTGAAATATCAGTGCCTCAATTTCGCTTGAACCCATCGCCCTATCTTGGCGCTTAAAATGTAGGCCCTATATTACTAACATTGACCGAGGGAAAATACTGTGTACTGAAATGAAGGTACGATACCCGCAATGCCCAGCGAATTTTGTGTCTTTTAAAAATTGTATGAACAATTAAAAAGCGTACGAAAAAAAAAATTGACCACTGTACATCATCGTTAGGTTTGCATCATCTTTGCATCAACTTTGCATAATCGTTTGGGGACGAGTCAGCGCTGGTAGGCTAAACAGCGCCCTCGTGGGTTTACTACATCACCTCACGAAACACAAAAGCCTAAACTCGACAGTGAATAGTTCTACGACCTTTTCTTACCAAAAAAAACCAGGAGCACTCGGAGCTGAACAAGCAATCGGTTAATCGTCTGTCGTCCATGTTTCTTTTCTCGGCCAAGATCTCATAAATTGTATCTTCCTCTTACAGATCCGTTGGATTGCGAACCAACTGGACGCATGGCACTCCCCCACCCTGGACTACATAGCCGTCCGCCTTTACCTGAGCACGAGTGTGATCAACCCCTTGATGTACGGGATTTTCCGGAGAAAAGTCCGCCGAAAAATCAAGGAGAGGACGTTAAAGCTGATCCATCACCCCTGCTGGTGCTGCTGCTGCAAGAGGAAAAATAGAGTGCGCCCTCAAGGCACCCAGTCGGAACAGTGGCGGCTGCCTGAGACCGTTTCTGGATTGGTAAACTCACGCGAGACGTGATTTTCAAAACTCCTGTACCGATCACGAGCTCCCCGTCCTGCCATTCCTGTCCCGTGTTGGCAACTGCATGGGGCTGCTAAGCACATACAACTTACTAAGCAAATGCGACACCATAAAATATAACTTCTGGTAAAGCTAGCTGTGTCTCAGCTGGAATTTGGTTACCGGTTTTATTAAGCGGAAATTGCCGAGTAAGAACTGTTCACCTTCGTGTCGTTTGTGTGCCTTCGGGCGTATGAATATTTTTGTATCCAGCAATCGGACAATAACCAATCAGTGCCTGATTGGTCAGAAATCAAACCTCGTGAGGTCACTCTGCACAAGTTTTGAATAATGCATGTAAAACAAACTATCTTGTTTTTTCTCAATTTGGAGGGCCCCTGCGCCCAACATCGCCTTTGAAAAGTGTAATATCCACTGAGCTGAAACGTCAACAAGTTTAAGGCTTTGAACACTCTTTTCTGGGTTTTCAGTGGCGTTATTACTGGAACTGAACAAAATGCATCAAAAGCAAATGATCTTAAAAGTGCGTGTTTTCACTATATGCAAGACCCATGCTATTTTCTGACAACGGTGTCACTTCAAGCACTGTCTTAACAGTTGAAAGATTTTCTATAAGAAAAAATATCAACTGAAACGAGGATCAAAAACAGTTTGTGCATAACGTTTGCTAAGTAACTGGCTCACATGTACTATATGTTCTCCCAGCTATTATATATCATTTTTCATTCAAATTCACCAACTCTAACATTCAATTTTGTCCGAGAAAAATTCACTTGCTTTGAACAAAACCAATTTAGTCATTTACCATTCAATTTCAAAGTTTGGTCACCCTCGTTAGGTCGAAAATATTCGTCATTACAGATCAAATCGTCTAAGCTGTTGCCGAATGGCAGCATTCAGAAATCGAATTCGTCATATGTATATCAATTAGACGAATTTAATTTCTGAATCACAAGGTTCGGGGTAGACGAGACGAAATCGAATACTCCGTGACGAAAACCTGTGCACATTGTTTAAAAATGCTTGAACTTGATTTGAATTGTCTGACAAAAGACACAATTTAACTTTGGAAGTGCGCTTAATCGGTGTTGATGGACGAATTTGAATATTAGATTCGGTGAATTCTAATGATAGAATAGCCGGGAATACCTATATACACATGAAACATAAAAGGCAGAGGATTGACCACAAACATGCACCTACAGTATTGAATTAGCTTCTCGACATTCCCAACAATTTCGCTCATGAATATGGAAATTCATATTTGCATTCAAGACCAATTTGGTCAACACCCTAAGATGTGACAATGAGACTGAAAATCAATGTATAATTATGGCATTCAAGCGTGCAATGCTATAGGATTCCACTTAACACAATCATCTAATGTAGGCCTATGTGCTGTTAAAGTCACATAATATCAATCCGTGCAATACACACGATTTAATTGTTGTAACCCGACAAATTTTGGTGACGGTGTGTGAAGATACATTGTTGTAAATGCATGGAGGTTGTATAACATATGTCTTTGTCTGCCCTTTTTGCAGACTTGTACGATGTCTTCTTTATTTTTCTAAGATGTATTCGGTATTGTAGTCACGATTGAAACTTAAACAAATAAATGCACAATTTTTGAAAACGTGTTTTAATGAATAAAGTGGGTGTAACATAAAACAAGAGTTGAATTTCGTTGTTGTGAATCACTTTACGTGAAACAAATTTAGAAGGTCGATTTTTTCATGTGTACACTGAATGAACCGTCGTTTTTTTATCCCATTAATTTGGTGAAATATCTTGGCGAATTGCTTTGAAAAATAATTATGCTAATTGGAATGTAAGATTGCTACTAGCGTAGATTTACGTCACTATTATACTATTACGTCACTACATGTATATTGGTTCAACCTACATGTTATTGTGATGGCGCATCGATCGTGGAACCTGAATTCTAACACCCCCCCATGCCCCCCCCCCCCCACTTCCAATTTCTATCAAAATTTCCATTTCTATTAGTATTACTTTTGTACGAGTACAAGTGCCACAGTCAGTTTACTTGTATCCTTTCCCATAATGTGTTGCGACTTGCTTGATTATTAATTTTCCATTGGCGATCCTTTGAATTGGCACTGCATTGCAAGAAAACAACATTAACAATCATCAAATCCTTTCATTTATTCAGCTATTATAAATCCCCGAAGCTTTTTTATTCATGTATTTCGATCGAAATAAAGAAACCACACCAAAATATTTAAAATAATATACAAAAAGCTATCTTCAAACATAAAACAAATCTTGTAGTTCTCTGAAGCCTGCAGAAACCATATTTACAGTTGTTCATATTGAGGATACTTTGCAGGACACAAAATTCTACGAACAACGATCAGTTGTTGAACACAATTTAAGTAGAAGATTAGAAGAAATATGGCTATTGAAGTTAGACATCCGAATGCAGTGTGGATTCTATATCGTCCAAGAATAGACCAGAATGCCCCATCATAATCACAACTTCGATGTTTGCAATCGTTCCCTGACTGTAACTGGACCCTACCACTTCACGTGCGCAAGGACCAATATTGGTTGTTCGGAATTGCCGAGGGTCATATTACCGCAATATGCACGGTCGTCTTGACAAGACAAAATGCAGAAACAGATGATGTTCCGATGACAAACCTATAATAGACCTAACAAGAAGTGAAGATGGTACGCTCTACTATTCATTGGCCAACAGAGGGCCTCCTCTTGCAAAGGGCTTGATCAAATACGGCTACTTGAGAGACTTGTTTAGATATGATACATAAGTCACAGTTTCGCGATGTAATAACGGTTGGGTTCGAAGATGTATATCAAGATGCGAAATCATGACAGTCATTTTAATTGTAAGCAAAATCTCCACTGTGATGGGTGTCCTCACCACAGCAAAGGATTTGCTTTGTACAATAGCCTAATCCAGCGCAAAATTATTTTGGCAGATTGTCCTGCGCTGTTCACAAAGTTACGCCAAAAATGTCTTAACAAGCGCGAAAAGATCTTATAGACAGCTCACTTTGCTATCTTATCTATTGAGTAAAGAATACAACTTGGTAGAAAAATACCGATATAAATTAACAAAGATATATTTACATGTACATGTATATACAATGAGCGGCCTAGCCGCTTTTCGCCATTTTGCGATGGATGCCGCAGATTCTCGCCAGACTCAGATCCACCTTTAGAGAGGCCGCTGCTGTAGCTTTGCTCGGGCCATGTTGGTCAGTACCACAGCAGCGATGATCTCTTTCCAGTAAATCTCCTCTGCGTCAGTGCTACAAGAAAAACAGGAAACCAGTAATAAATTGGAGTAATCTGGAGTTTTCACTTCAAGTTTGTGAGGAGATCAATAAGACATGGGAGCAGGTGGCGGAATGCCGCATGCAGGAAACGCAGAAATTCAATTTCTAGGACTGAGGGCCAGAAATGCCGTGGAGTCTATCAAAGTCAAATCACAGGTCAATCACAATTCAGCCTCAAACCACAAGCTGTCCAGATGAATTGTGACAAAGCCATTATTGTTCAACCCTTGTTAATAAACTCGTGACTATATAGTCTTGATTGAATTGCAATCCTGTACCTGACTGACTTCAAAATAATGAATTGTTTTCCTTGCTGGTAAAATGTGGATTGAATCTCAAGAAATAATTACTCACGTCTTATAACTGACATCTGCATGTTGACTGCTCCATCTGCCTTGTCCCTGCATGTCATAGCTTTGTCCATAATCAGCTGAAAAATTCAATTGGTGCAACAATGATTGTTTACAATGTATACATGGATTTATATTTGCTGTAATCTTTAAATCACAGACTATAGCTACCTTCTAACGGCACGCAGGAATATTTGCAATTACATGTACCTGGAAATGTACGTAGTTGCCGATAAGATTTAACGAGAAAATCCTTTCTAAAAGTGAAGATAGGAGTGGTACCAAATACCGTGAAATTATTCCGTCTAAAATGGTATCATTCAGAAGATAAATGAAGGTGGGTTGAGACAGTGTTCCCGCGGGCTCAGTTTTGTTTACGTGCGTTACGTGCGGAATCCAGTTATGATAGAGACCCCGATAATTGTGCACACATTTTCTGTTTTCTCAATTATGAAACCTCAACACTTTAGTTGTTACTTTTTAGTGCAACCTTTTGAACGATTTTGAGCATTTTGTTTACTTCAAACGAAAAAAAATGTACAAACAGCAAGTGATCCTATATACCTTTAGTGAAGTATACCAGAATTTATAAAAAAAAAATATCAGTTTGATATATATACCGCACCAATAAGGAATTTAGTTTTATTTGTATTGAAAAGATCATCGTGTTAAAGATATTTATGATCCATACCATAGAGGGCGCACCCATCTTGAAATGCCGTCTGGTTTCCGTCACTTCCGATGCTGTTAGGCGAGCAGGAGAACGCGTCTTCGTGATCATAAGAACTCGTAGAGCCAGACTCGCAACACCTCACCGATGGCGGCGTCCTCTCGTTGGCAAACCGGTGTGTTTGAGGTTGGTATCCGTTTCGTTGGTGCTCAATGGAATCGCTGAGGTATCTGTGGAGGATAGTCTGCTTGAACTTGGGCGAATTCGATGTCTCGGGGAAATACGTCGGTGATGGCGGAGGCGGAACCTCAAGACGTGCTTCTCCATTTTCCAACGTAGAGGGCGCAATGGGCCAACTGTGGTTGTAACCCCACCCAGGCATCACGACTGGAGTACTGACGTGAAGGTTCGGCAGGCCATGGTTTTCTGTGTCTGTTCAAAAGACGACATCAAAATGGTCCAAATCTCAATAAACACGACGGTCAAATAGAAGAGAAGAGATCCCCTGTCTTGGTAGGATTATGTAGGCCTATTACATTAATATTACAAAAAGAACATCGACAGCACAACTTACTCGTAGTCTGGCATCCCTAAGATGAACTGATAAAGATATATGTCAGAACTACATTGTGTAGATATTTCTTTGTCAAGTTGTGGTCGGCACTTTTTGCAAGCACGGGTTGGCAAACAGTGGAAGGTCAACGTCGCAAAACAAATTAAAAATAATGATTAGTGTTTCAAAATATAATCATTGGATTGTTGGAAATACAAAATAACCAACCGACGCTACCAAAGATTTCATAAAAATGACAAATAGGGCGCTAATATACACTTTTGGGAAAAATATGTTGCCAACCACGTACGGTTTTATACATTAATGCCCCTGTGGTAGCACATACAAAAATGACGTTCATGTTTACAAACGAATGAAAGGTCTAAAGGATCTAATACTTTTAAATGGTTGCCGAACCACGATATAATGATTGACTTACCGTCTTTGCTAGGACCATCCCCAAGCAGCCTGTCCGAGGTGTCTGATGCATGCTTGTTAAACAGCTTGATTCTCTTGCTCCAGGTTAGGCCAGGTTTACGCACGGTGTTCTTGAGCCGTCTTCTGGCATTGGCGAACCAATTCGTCACCTAATCGATTATTGAAATAGAACGTATAAACGGTAACAAATTTTAACCTGGAGTTTAAAATTTCATTTTCACATTCTAATATCCTACGAATTATAAGTAAAATGATTTCCAGATTTCGTGCTTTTTAATTTCATTTATAAATTGACCTCTTTCTTCAACAAAGTGACCTCGAGGCAATCTCAACGTCAGCAAATCAAAACATCACGGTAATAAACATCGGCAAACAACTGGCACGTCGTTCGAATGGTGATGACCTGATTATATAATTTCGACATGCGGCCCCCTTGCCCTGCCTTGACTAAACAGCTGGATGAAGATTATAAGATGATGTTGGGATTCCCTTCATTTTCATCAATTGCATGGTTTTGTTTTCAAATAAGAGTCAAAGTAATATCAAAGTCAAACATGAGCCATGTAGTACAGTACGCAGTTCAAGTCTCTACCAAATGAAAACGAAAATCCTCAACCAAGAACAAAAATTGGATGAAAAGCAGTATCAAGAAACGAACTTAAAAATCCTTTGAAAGTAACAATACTATATTTAAGACGGTTTTAAGACGGTTCAGACGTCGATACCGTTAAGTCTTAATTTTGCTGCCCCCGGCATACTAAAAGCTGGATGTATGCCTGTGGCCAAACAGAAACACTTTGCTAACCAATCTCTGACCGAAAGTTGCACACGTAGGCCTAGCTGGTTTTAAAAGGAGGGTAAAGCTCGAGTACATGTACATATGTTGGACAGCTCAGCAACATAAGATGTTCTAGAATCTGTATAAGATACCAATTTACAACCCGAGCGTGTTTACCTGAATCAGCGTCATCTCAGAGTCCACGGCCAGAGCGACTTTCTCTTGCTTGGTCGGGTACGGGTTGCCTCTGTTCTCGTACAGCCACTTCTTTAGGGGCGTGGTCAGGTCTTGGGGGGTCTTGCCTCGGTGGCTCGGCTTGTGTGAATGCACAGTACCGTTTCGCCTTACAAGTAAATATAATGGAGAATTTTACCATGATAAAGTTTGTCATAACACTGTGTGGTTTTCAGAGAAAGAGAGGGGGCGGGGGCGAGAGGGAGGGGGGGGGGGGAGTGTTACTGACATCTTTTGGAACCGTGTGTGTCATGCTCAAGCTGACTGAAGGAAAATGTGCCTTCAGTACCTGCAGATTGAGCCACATAATGTGATACTTGCGTAGAAGAAAATAAACACACGGCATAATATACTCGATAACAAACAATCGCTTATTAATACCGTTTTCCTGGAACCAAACCAATGATACATTGCACTCAGACAAGGTGAGTGCCCGGATTCACATGGTTGTCTAAACATAATTCCATGGTCGAAAAAACATTTACCATTCCCATTTTCTTTCTTTTTTGGGGGCTAAGTCGTTTGAATTCAAGAAAGAGAATAGGAGCTCAAAATTCCATCAGAGCGTTCGATTAGCTGTCGCGTGCTACTCGTGTCTGCGCCCGCGCCACTGGGCCCAGCTCGGGAGCGGGTCTCTCCTGGCCGGCTGCCCAATCCGAGCGCAACAATGGAATGCCTGTCAAAACACGGCAGCGTTCGATTATTGCCTCATTTCGTGGATTCCTCGGGTGAAAACCCTGTGTATACACCAGAAAGCTTATCGAACGCAAACTCCAACAAATGTTTAGCAATTAAACCAAGTTTTGCTATTACTTTGTAAACATGTTTAGAAGTTAAACATTACGTATCCAAATCCCAAACATTTGTGTTAAATTGTTAAACAAAAAGTTCATCCATTATTATACTCTCAACATGTTTAGCATACTTACAAAGTGAAGTGATAGATAGAAAGCGTTTGGAAAAGTGCAGTGTTTAATTGCTCAACACAGTTGTTGCAGTGTACAGCGGTAATAATATACGCAGCTATGAGTTATTCTTTGGTCATACAAAGAAATGTGGGGTTTAAAAAAAATAGGCTGCCTTGATTATTAATGGTTAGAAAAATATGCCATTTTTGAAAAATAAAACCAATGTATTCATCCTTGAAACGAAATTGGATGGTTTTTTTTTCAATTAAAGTGACGGAGGATCTCTGCGTAGTTACAAAGTAATCGCCAACAAGAAGCAGCTGTCAATGAAAGACAATTAACTTCCCCATTATGTACCCGTTATATGTCGATGACGTTTACTATAAACTGTATATAGGATTTGGAATAACACAATACCTTTCCCTTACCGATTACGTAACTTTTCCAGCTATGGATGAAGTGCGGTTAATGGCGCGTGGCGGCCTTGTTCCGAATATTGTAAACATGTTATTGTTTGGGTCGGCCGAGCGACTGATAGCTTGTGATAAGTCTCCCTTTACTTGCTGAATTCAGCGAACTCCGTAATTGACACGAACAAGAAAGACAACTGTTTTCAGGCTAACAACAGATTTTGACGTAAGAGGTCCTTGGCGTACGGGAAAACATGCCTTTAGGCCTGTCGTGCTGCTATAGGCTAGTAAAAACCACAGGGAATATTGATGGTTCACGAGAAAAGGGTTATTTCACCTTGCACATATCAAATTAGCCTGACAATGACATAAGTCTGATGTCCCATAGCGCTATACAAGGTCTGATCATGGAGCTAGAGTCTGACGAAGTTGTTAAAAAGAGAGCACAACAACTTTTTAAGGGGTTTTAACTTCAAGGCAGGCCGTGTATTGGCATTCGTGTCACTATATTTCTTATCTCTCTTTTTATGAAAGAGTGAACATTCTATCTTTTTGGGCGAAAAATCGCCCCAATAACGACCGGGGACCACGGACGTTTGGAGATAATTTCATTCAATAGAATCGATTAGATCTATTTTTCTCTCGAGTTTTAACGGAATTAATTCTGCATGTTTCAGAGTATTTCAATCTAGGCTATATATCCCTCTCGTCTTGTCCAAGGTGTTTCGCACTTTTGAAATTTAGAGAGTAGGATTTCTAAGAAAAGTCGATTTTCTAGTGCATGCGTAATTATGATTGTTTTGGACAATGTGTAATCATTGTCGATTACTCTTTGTTCAAGTGCGGTTTAAATTTGTTCAATTGCAGTACACTCAACCATGACAATTTGTACATGTGTCATTGGCCGCCGGCGATGAGTCACGTACATAATCATCAAAATGCGTTTAGAGAGCAAACAGTGTGGCACAATATTGCACCAAGTGTGACTCTCTTTTTGCCCTGTGCATATTAATTATTATCTTAGTCAGTAGTGGCGGATCTGACGGATAGGGTTTAGGGGGGGGTTAGGGTTAACACCCCCCCCCCCTCCATGCCCCGGGCCGTAAACCATGTAGGGAAAATCATGCAGGAAACACAGCAATGCCTTTAAATACCCTCTAAATAACTACACCAATATTGGTCAAAACCTGAATCCTACCTGCGGACTCGTGTGCCATTCACACCCAACTCTTGGTCATCTCCGCTAGCAGGTTGACAAGTAGTTACTGAAGGAGTGACGTTGTCGTCATGACACTCTCCTGACGAGGGCATGGCAGGGACGTCCATCTTATAGTCGGATGTGTTCACTTCTCGATTCATCATTTCTCCTTCCGGACTTCGCATTTGACAGTTCTGGTTTACTTCGATTTCATACATAACTTTGCACGAATAACCGCTGTTGATGGTCTAGCCAAAGAAGCAAGTCGCCAACAACTGAACATGTGACAAACTGGGAAAAAAAACCTTAGTCTTTGAAAGTTGAATTCCGCACGGGCGTACAGCATGTATGTACAGGCATGAAGAAATAAAACACATGTACAGGGTAGCATTAGTTCCTTGTTTCAAGCGAAGAATGTTTTGTGGGGCATGCGTTGACAGGACTTACATGCACGAGAACAAACGAACTTCGACAACGTGTTTTCTGCTGTATGTCCACGGATAGTCATATCTCGTAACAAAGGACACAAAGGCCACTTGTCGGTGCACCTGCCTTTGTGTACAAACGGTGAATCCAGTCCATGTAGTGGAATGCAGTGTAGGGCACTATCGCACACAACAAAGACATTGCACATGTATGCCCAGTGAGTCAACGGCCGCAGACCGTGACCGCAGGCATGTGTCGGGTACACAGCGCTAAATTACCTTGGATTCATATACATGTATATACACAATACAAAATTGCTGGGTCGGGTCCATATGTGATCGAACTACAAAGTTTTATTTTAAGTGATGGCGGGGTTCAAAATAGAGATAGCACTGTGGCCAATATATAATAATTAATTGCAAAGTTTAGTTGTTCCGGAGATAGCAAATTATTGCCTGCGTATGGGACGAGGGGCTCCGCCGGCTCTGAGTGCTTTCAGTTTCAGTAACTTTCGCCCGGGAGCATGTGGTTTAATTTCATTGTTGAAGAAAAGTTTTTTTTTTAAATATATATTTTTTTTCAGGGCCGCTACTAGATGGGGGTGCTCCCCCTTGTAATTGTATTAGGGAGGGTATTTTAGGGGATCATTTAGAACATGCATGCACCTATCAAAAATCATACCTCTAGGTGTCTTGGCTCCAGTTGACGATGACAGACGCATGTCATTTTAATTTGGTGTCAACTCGAATCCCCACTTTGAAGATGATACCAGGTGATTTTGGTCTAGTACGTACGAGTGATGGCGCTGGGGTGTTGGGTCTTATATGGCATTGTAGGCGTATGTACGGGACCCTTTTTTTTGGGGGGGGGGTAATTTTGGAGGGCAATGTTGCCCAGTCAGTTCCGCAAAATTATGAAGGGGGGCCGGGGCAAAGTCCTTGGGCGAGAAAGTAGGGGTGAGAGGGGGTGGCTGGGTGACCCACGCCTCACTCAGTTACGTTTATGTTATTTTTGTACCGGTCACTGAAATTAATTCCCACCTGTCTGCCGCATCAAGAACACAATCCGCCAAGGCCTTAAGTATTTGCAATAAGACTAAGAGAATAGACATTAAAGTTTAGGAGATGTGAGCAAAGCTGCATAATGACATTCCAGACAAAAACCAACGGAATCAGGTAAGGGTACTAGAAAACTAAAATATATCACGGTCCATTATGGAGCCGGAGAGGAAAAAAGCTAAAGTGAACGAAGGACTAAAAAAGGCATAGAAAAAAAGGTAACCTTTTACCGTGAACAGCGCCACCTTTAGTCAGATATTGTCCAGCCATGCACGGAGTTGGCAACACTACTTCATGAAACTCGTAATCACGTTGAGAGGTCCGACCTCATATGTAAAGAAAATGAATGTTTCAAGTGTTATTCGACCATTGAGAACTTCAGGGATCCATGGGATCTCAGCTCAAGTTTCTACCGGTATCAAAAGGCTAGCTGCCGAACGCGTAAATTGTACCACACAGCTGACTGCTCAAAGTCGTTCGAGCTCGACGTTGCATTCGCAATCATGGCAATGCACACCCCACCGTACCCCGCCATGCCCACGTGTATTTTGCAAGGCATCATGGACACTGCAAGCGAAACAGGATGCACTGTGTTTAACATCCGAACCAAGATTCCTTAGGTTTTCATTTGCTTCATGTATTCGTCAGTTATCATCAAATTCATCAAATATTGGCAAAGATTGTGAAGTTGCTGACCATGAGGAGGAAGTTGAATGGAATCATCCTGCGAGCCGAACTCAAGATGCACTGTCTCGAGACCCCGAGCTGCGCTCAATCCTCTGTGAAATTGCCTCAGACTTTGGAAAATCCCACATAACACCAACTGATTCTGAGACGACAGGAACTCATGAGCGTGAGGCGTCAAAAGTTGAAAGCAACAATGAGGGTTCTGTTGCAAGAGACTTTAAAGAAGGTTTTGTTGCCATGACAACTGAGTATGAGGATGAAGCAGAATCGATGGATGTGGTGGAAGTATCTCCTGCGAAAGCATCGAGGAATGCCAGTAAAAAATGACTTGATCATAGTTATATATTTTTAATTTAATAGTCTATTTAAATGCTTACTTCGTAACAATTGTTATAATTTAATCATGCAGATTGCAGGAATGTCGTGCAACTGAGTGTCGTTTTTAGCATTTCAAATCATGGCACAAATGTAATTATTTGCGCTCATTTTTAAGTGGCTGAAGCAAAGATTAGATGAATTTTGTAGTTTCTGTCTCTATCCTATTGTGTCCATATTGCCTACCACCAGACTGGGACCCTGAGTGCAAAAAACATACAAAACAAAATCAGGCCAACTTTACCCACACTTACTGACAAAATGTTCCAAAATTTCCATCAGGCAAATATGAGGTTCTGAGTATTTCACCAACCAGGTTTGAGATCTCAATTTTAATTTTTAAAGGAGATTTTTCTTCATTATTTTGCACTTGAGAGTGAAGCCAAGTGATTTCAATTTGAAGCCTCCGACTAGAGGCTAAGACTAGACTGGTACATGTACATTTCCTACTTTTTGAAAAGATTGACTATTCGGTAGTCTGGTGGCATGACTATGGAGAGTTGTTTCTGGGGCCTAGTTTACAGCGTAAATTACTGTCGGATATCAGACATTTAGTTCATTCGTGTCTGGACAGATTTTTTGTCCAACTTTACCCTCTTCAAATTTAGCAGAGCCGAAATAAACATCTTTTCACAAGTAGCAAGAAATTAACAATCATATTGTTCCATCCTGAACATTGAATTCATTGTTTTTTTTGTTGTTTTTTTCATTTGAAAAAGTACTTGATCCTACCTCCCTCATCCCCCCACTACCATCTCAAAATTTGACTCTTTGAATTAAAACTATTTCTGTGTCATTCAACAGGTGATTCATCCTTTGTCTTCAGCATCGATGACATCGTCGAGATCTTACGAGAGGAAAATGCGCAAGACATCTGCGTCATTGCAGTGCCGCCGGAAAAAAACTATGTGGACTATTTCATTGTGGTGACAGGGAGATCGACGCGGCATCTCAGCGCGATGACTCAGTTTGTTAATAAATTGGTAAGGTGTCTAGACTGTGCAATCAAAGTTGAAAACTTTTGTCTATCCACAACGTTACCTTTCACTGGTATCCACTCCCTTTGCACAAGTTCCAGTGTAACTGGTAACAGAGGGAGAGTTGGGAGAGACCACTGCGAGAGACATTGTGCGTACTATATTCGCAAACCAATACGCGCATGTGGTGTGTCCCCTCCATGCAGTGGGCTCTCGAAAGTAGTCAAGAAGCATGTTTCCTCGAGCCCATTTGTACATTTTTTGTACATGTAGCATGTTCCAGTACTGCTGGTGGGGCTGCCCTGTATGAGGGGTTGCTTTGTATGTGTCCTCAGGTGAGCTAACTGGTGGATCCAAGGTGCGGGGGGGTGGGGCGACAACGGGGGCCATGCCAGCCCGCCCCCCCCCCCAAAAAAAATTCTTTCTAGGAAAGAAATTAAAAACGTTAAGTATCTCTCTCGCAAGCCATCAGCTTCATTTACCTTGCCTGATTAGCAGGGGTAATAATGACACCAATGGATATGTGCACTTTATACTAATCATTTTTTTGGAGGGGGGTGGTTAAGGCAGCTCAATTGAACTTGAATTCCTTTTTTTTTATTTGCAGTACAAACAGAGGAAAGGCAAGGATGATCCTTTCTTGATCGTTGAGGGAAAATTTGCAGAAGACTGGATGTGCCTTGACTTCGGTAAGTAGGTGAAGTCCTGCAAAAGACTCAGTCTGAATATTTAACAAAGATGTAACTCTTACCAAGGGTCAAATTTCAAGGAAAAAGCTACTTGAATACAGGGTACATGTAAGTAGATGAAATTTCACAATGCAAATCTAGACCCATATCAAACTAGCAAAACTGCACTTTGCATTTTGGGCTGAGAAAAGGACCTGAACCCTAACCCCTTACTTATCTGTGCAACTGTCGAACCCATCCCATGACCTATTGACCAATCACATTGGCAATGTATGTCCAAAAAATGTTCAGTATGCTTGTGCTTATGTCTGGCAGTATTGTAGTCGAGACAATCACAAGACCAGACACAAGACCAATCGTAGAGCAAGCATAAGACCATTCACAAGACCATTCACAAGTAACAGGGCACGAACAATGACAAAGGAGTGCCTTTGTTGCAGTTCATTTGAATAGCTTGTGACTTGAATTGAGACTGATAACCTGTTAGAATTTGTGAAGGCTTCACAGTATCTCTGGTTGACAGCTGGCCAGTTTGAATCCAGTAGGATCCGATTGTACGACGTCAGAATACAATACCACTATCCAGTTTCCCAGTGATCGGCCATCATTGCACTGGGCAAGCATGTGGTTTTTACTTTAGCAACCACATCGTGTGTTGTAAACTAGAGAGTAGAGCTTATTTGCACGTAAATTAACCGCAAATTCAAAATCAAATGGAGTAAATGGTCACCACCTGTGCTGGGTATGGTTGTCATAATCATGCCGACCCAGCAGTGGGTGTTTGGCTCCACGTTTTTCTCACAGTTCTTGCCATCCATCACAGCTTTGAAGGCATACTGCGCGCGGCACTATACATGTACAATCTTTGCCTACTACAATGGTGACACGGAGTTTCCGGTTCCGAGATGTAGGCAAGGTCATGTGAGTCAGTCAGAGAGCCCTGTGTAGAAGCAGGAACCGCAATTGACTTTCCGAGTGATGAGCTTTCCCTCATATGGGGGTGTCTCTCAATTCCTGACAGGCAACATTGTGGTTCATTTCATGCTGGAGGAAACCAGAGCTGTGCACAATCTGGAGGAGCTGTGGACCATGGGCAAGGAGTTTGACAGTCACATACAGCAGTGGGATCAACACGAGGTGCTTCTGTTCAATCCAGAGACCGACCTTCATACAGCCTCACAAGAACAGGAAGAGACTCCAGAGAAGTGAGATCCCTATGTAGTCGAGTCGGGTCCATCACAAGTCCATCTCAAGTCCAGCAGTCACAAGTAAATCTTAAGTCCAGTCACAAGTAACAGTGGATGAACAATAACAAAGGAATGTCTCTGTCAAAGCTCATGTGAATAGCTTGTGAGTTGAATTGGGACTGGAGGACTTGTGATGGACTCAAACTACATCCCTGTTGAGAACTGGGATTTAAGTTGCTTGTCATCAAGGGCCCAAGTTTGTGTGGCTGTTTAATAGAAAATATTGCTTAGCAAATATATACGTTAAGCCAGTGTTGTCCATCGCACGTCATGTTAAAAGTAAATCACAAGTATTTTCACAATTTTAGTTCTAAGTAATGGCTGATGAGCAATAACAAAGGAATTTTGTTGTAGCAGTTCATTTTAACAGCTTGTGACTTGAGTTAAGACTGGAGGACTTGTGACGGACTTTTGATGGACTAAACCACCACGCTAAGCATGAGAAAGGTCAGAACCAGTCACAGTCAGTTTACATCCCAGATGTTTTGGTTGGTACCCAGTTTTTGACACTAGGGGGCGCTGTTCGTGATACAAATGTACGTGCAATGCAAACTTACGCCCTTACCTTACATGAAAACAATGCACTTAAAGCAATCGTACTGTTTGTTCTCTGTTTTCAAAACCATTTAATAAATTTTTGACCTTTGGAAATTTACAAGATATCACCAAAAGTGGCATTTTTGGGTGTCTCTCCACAAAAAGCTGGGGGATGATCCAATTCCCCCTCCCCGGGGTTACGTCCATGCATAGAGCACTCTCATAGAAATCTTCTCTAACTCTGTAACAGTGAATCCTAAATGAAGGGGTGTGCACATTGGGGCTGTCCCGAATATACGGAATATTGAAATATTCGATCATCAAAAGAACATTCAAAAAACTTTTTACAAATTTGAATTTTCGAAAGAAACAAATCTATTGATATACACCATTGTGATGTTATTTAATCATAAATTTGTGGTGCTTTCTGGTCAGATACCACTATTTGTCGACGGCGACAGCAACTTTTTTGTTGACGGCAGTTCATTGTTCTCATCCTTCTAGCGCAGGCTCAAGCCATTGACAGTTATGCAAACCATTCCAGCGGCCCATCATTGCACGGAAATTTCACCTGGCGCACTTTGCGTGCAATGTTTGACAGGCGCGGCACGCAGTGGCAGCTGGCATGTGCAAACTTGATCGGCGACTTTCGAATATTCGAATATTTGGTCAAACGCAGTTTCAAATAATCGAGTACTAGATGATTTGGAAATGGACAACCCTAGTGCACATTTTGTACAAGCAAAAGTTGCTTGCAAAAGGAGAATTGTTTTATATGTCATTAGATGGAATTTTCTGCTGTAATTAGCAGGAGTTCTTCGGGGTTTCTTCAAAGCCATGAAATTGAGCCAGGAGAGGGGCAATTTGTTGATTTTGTTGACAAATAAGTATTTTATTCCTTAACTTAGGAGTATTTTTTTAATTGAAAGTATTTTCTTATCTTCAATAAATAAATACTTAAAAATTCCTTCATTCGATTTATCCTGTCATTAAAGGAATTCCAGATTCTACCAATGATTCTCTTGGCTTATTGCCATTAATATTGATACCAGTAAATGTTGCTCTGTATTCTTTACTATTAAATAGTTTGTCAACTTGAAGGAATGCTGGAATTCATCATTGATATTTAAATATTTTCATTTGATGACTGTCTACCTTTTGTTTAAAATATTACCCTTATTATTATTAGTTCTGGTTTGCCTTTGCCAATAAAAAAATATACATGTATATCCCATAATTCCATTGTGCTCATCTGGTATCCTCATTCATAGCAGAGAAATACAACAGATGCGCGATCAGCAGTTATGAAAAATATCACAGATTTCACGCACACCGCTTTTTAAATAATTTTTTTTTTTTTTTTTTTTTTTTTTTTTTTTAACTTTGATCCCTTGAATGTGCATAAATTTGATGCACTGGTAGGTTTACAAGTGGAAGTTGTTGGTCACCATTTGTTTTGCTGCCCAGATTTTCTTATAAATGCAGGTATTTAATGTCCCTTATTTAGCTCCTGGTAGGTATTACCGTTTAAACATGACCAGGCCTCTGGAAACGAACACACACAGTAAATACAATGATTTGTTTTTGAAGGAATTCCAAATCATCATACAAAAACTCAATCACATTAACACGGTATTGCAACTTCTGGTTGCACAATTCATATGAATTTGGACATTGGTTATTTCTTTTTAAAGGAACTTTTAATACAATTAAGCTCTTGGACGAAAAATATGAAATTGTGCACCATGATACACCAACAGTTATAAATACAAAGTAGTCGAAATTTTTTTAAGGAAACATACAAAAACTGATCAAAAAGAGTGATTGCTTTAAAAAAAAAATTGTATTGTGCTTACAAATATAAGAATATCTTCATCTTTAGGCCAAGAAGAAAAATTTATTCTTTCTGGTTACCCTACCTACCCTATTTTGACAGCCCTACCCTATACTTGTAATTTTCCTACAAGTGTCAATAGGTTTTGATTTGCAATTTTGTTATGTCTATACAGTGTGAACAAACGAAATTATACGCCAAGTACTGTACAATTAGTCTATGAAGAGTGCGTTATTATCTCAGTTGGTCGACCAGTTTCGATCGACAACTTGTATAATCTTACAACTGCAGAACGCTTGAACTAACATACTTTATATAGACCTACCCGGGCACGCTATTAATTCTATCACGAAGGCCCCCTTCGATGGCCGAAGCATTGTGCTAGCTGTTGTTAAGAGAATCCGTCACGGGACAGTTGCTTTGTACAATAGCATGCACAATGGTTTATCAATTGAAGGGGCCCAGTGAGTGTACACTGTACAGCGTTTGGATTCATCTGTACATGTACATTAGCCGCATCTCCAAAATGCCATACACTGACAGGATGGGATACATTGAGAAGTGAATGTTGAGTGGGACACTTTTCAACCGTGAATTAAACATTGGTAGTAGCAGTGTTGACATTTTCTAGAGTCTTTGTGTTTCTCGATGCTTCTTTGGACCCACCGTCAGCCCTTGCATACCGTCGACCACACCGGGACTGGAAGGCTTTCAACCAGAGCCGCCAGACCTTCTTGTTGCAGATGAAGGAGAGGAAGATGTGCACGCCTTGGCTGGCGTTGAGGAGGATGAAGACGTACCAGAGAGCGATGACGTCACTAATGGCTGCTGCGAAGCCAAAGATCCACGTGAAGCCCATCAAAGTGGCGATCTGGCAAAGACCAACGGGGGGAAATGAATTAAAGATACCTTTGAGCATTCAATCCCCGACCTCGTGGTGAGTTTGGCAGTTCGGATTTTAAAACACACAAGTTTTTGTGTGTGGTAAATCATGTGAAACATGTAATTGGAGGGGAAACTGAACAACTGAAAAATGAGCCGTGATAACAATGCCTTGACAAAGTAAAACTTGCTATCCTAGAATCGCAACAAACTTGATGAAGTATTTGACAATAATGACCTAGCAAGGTCCTCCCGTTGTAAACTGTGTATTTCAAAATTTGAAAGTTCATGTTAATAAGACCAAAATGTATGGAAGTTGTCGCACGTTGGTTTACATTTATGGGACCCGTTTACCTTGATGTAAATAATCAATTCTTCCTTGACTTGCTGCACTTCGGTCTTGTTTCCCAGTACATTGCGCGTCTCTCTTTTTGTTTTCCTGATCCCACAAACAGTAAGGGAAAACAAGACGATGTTTGTCAATACAACCAATCCAATGGGGACACCGACCACGACCATGCTGACGTATCCGTCCCCTACCCAGCAGACATGCTCGTTGCCGTACCAAAGGGGAAAGTCGGTGCAGCGGCAGAGGTGTAAAATCAAACAAGGAAGGGCCACCAGGAATGGAACACCCCAAGCAAACGAGATGGATGGTAGTGAAATGCCCGTTTTACCTCTCTGCACGTGCCAAACGGTGAACGTGCGGTTCAAAATGAACGCTAGTACCCCAGTCCACATGACGGAGACCAGGAGAAAGTAATGCGCCAGAAGAGCCACTAGCGTACAGGCGGCTGCATTCTGGGTAGCAGCCCCGCTGAGCAGGAGGAGAAACTGGGCTAGGAACAGGGCAGCCGTGAAATTCATGATGGGACCGGTGGTGCGATTCCTGAGCTCCTTAAAGACGCAGAAGGTGACCAAGGTGACGACTGCAGCCAGCATCGAGACAATATTCGCCACGAGGTTGAGAATTTGTTGCGGCAGCGAGTACTGGAAGAAAGTAAAGGTCTGGGTTACATTGCGAGTTCCATTCTGCTCGTTAAAGGAACAGACTTTGATTTCACCATCTGGCGTCTCTATGTACTCGTCTCGAGTAAAGACGGTATCTGTGGGGATGTAAACTAATACGTCATCGTCGTCTGTGGGACGAAATAGTGAACTGTTGAAGGTTTCAAGCAGGCACGAGAGGTCAGGATTCGTGCAGATCTGGACATCAGATGACAACAAAAAGACGCCGGATGCTTCTTGCAGCTTCAGTGTTTCCCGCTGAATTGTCAGGTTCCCGTTGATTGGCGAATCGTCGACACTCGCATTCTCCCACCTCCCTGTGCATCTTGCCAGTGCTAAGCTCGCATCGTGGTATATCACTTCCACATATGTGTTCGGTGTCGGCTGGAGATATTCAGGACAAAAGGTTTGGCCTTCAGTTGCCAGCAGCTGAAGATGAAATGCTAGGAAAGTTTCCCGGTCGAATTGGACCATGGATGCAAACACGTGTCTCTTCCCCAGCTGCTCAGGGCAGTTACCTGATGTGGCCAATGCAGACTCTATCGTTGAAGGTTGAAACTGACTTGCATTAACGTTGGCAAGTTCCACAAGACAACCCTTAATAATTTCCTCAAGAATATCTATGGAGGACAGAGGTTCCGTGCAGACGGAAACATGTACGTAGGCTACCATTTCCTGCCCATGCGGGATAGTCAACAACCGAATGCATCGTTCCCCTTCCAGGACATATCCATCTGCGCAGCTCAGCTTGCGGCATCGGGAAAGAAACGGGTCGTACACTTCGTTCGTTGAGCAGGTGACTTGGACCTCCTCGACCACCACGCTGTCTTGACTCAAAACTTTGACATTGCCTCCGGATCGGAAATCGAAGACGATCGAAATCGGTGGCGGTCCTGGATTGTCGGGTGCGGGTGCGGGAGGTATGGGGGGCCTCGGGTCGTCCCTAGTAGTCACCAGTGTGGGGTAGTGAAGTGAGCAGTCCGTTTTGAGTATTCTTTCCTCTTCATTACAGATGACACAGTGCGGGTTTTTGTAAAGAGTTATGCCAGTCAGGTAGTAGTTAGTTGCACTCAGAGCTGTGTAGGAAGTGCATGCCTGTGCCAGTGGGTGACCAACGGGGCACTCCGCTATCAGGTTGTAATGGCACAACCTAAGAACGGAGCCAGCGCTCTCTGGAGGCTGACGCAGCAAACTGCACCCCAACTCATCCCTGATCGTTTCCAGGGTCTCCCTAGAGGTGGAATTGGACAAGAGACGAAAGGCCTGGTCCTTAACAAACTTATCCCAGCAATCCACGGTTACTGTCCACGGTTCCAGATCGGACGTAGCTTCCTGCCAGGAGAGGGCGCAATACACATTGCTGTACGGAAAGTCGTTCTTCACGCCGCAAACTGGGAGTCCTGTCAGGAAATCGTCACTGTCTCCCTGCTCGCACCGTTGCCTGACGTAATCGTTGACAGTTGGGTAGTCATGGGGACAGGCAGAGATGACGTAATATCCCTCAAGCTTCCTGGAACTCTCGAAGTAGCAGGTGAAATCTGTAAGCTGTAAAATAGATTGAGGGAAAATCATTACCAGCTCCTCCAATCTCTACCTTGCGAATTCTTTCATACCTCTAAAAGTTTAGAAAGCGTTATGTTATGAGTAGAAAGGTCCAAATAATTATATAGTAATGTCAATTATGTTTGTTTTGTGGTAAACACTCCCTCGGTCGAAAATCTCATTAAAGCTCGGCAGTTTGAGCAATGAGTCTAGAGTAATAGGAGAAACTGGCCGCGAAAGGGAGGCTAGCGCTCGCTTAGAATAAGCATTACACAACGTTTAATGATAATAATAATAATAATAATAATACCGGAGTCTTATAGCGCACGTATCTGCCGACAATTAGGTACTCAATCTAGTTTTAAAGACGGGTAATGAAGTTTTATGAGAAAATGTGAGACCCATTATGTAGCACCTTTATGAAAGGTATACGAGGTGCTGCGGCGCATATTGCAGCCCTGCCAGGAACACTGGGGCAAACCCCTTCTCTTAGTGATAAGTGTTACTGGGTTATTTAACGTGCATTACACAATGCCCGGGACCTACGGCTTTACGTCCCATCCGAAGGACGAAGCAATAATGGTAAAGTGCCTTGCTCAAGAGCATAGGGACCATGTTCCCCGTCACTAGGATTCGAGCCATGTACCACGGCACACGAGTCGAACACCGTAAACGTTTGAATCATGAACGCCGAACTCATGAAACTCCCAAAACAATCCCCCAAAGTGGAACCCCCCCCCCAAAAAAAAAATGTTAAGCATACTTTATAAATCATCTTTTCTTGCATGAAGATTCCGCTGTACCTTAAATTGTAATGCCTAAACAGCGCTTTCCGTCGTATCAACAATCTCAAAGTGCTTTATTATTTCCCCGTTCATCACGCTGCGGTGGACAGAGGCAATTGTAGTTAAGTGTCTTGCCCAAGGGCACAAACACCATCATGTACCTGGCAGGGTTCGAACCCACGCACCATCGTACATGAGTACAACGCCGTAACCACTGGACCATCGCGCCGCCGCCTTTTGTATCCGATGCGTGTAGTATTTCGACCGTGTGCTTCAGCTACCAATAGGCCAGCTACCAATAAGCCACTACCCTGATCTCGCCTTTCCCCTGATTAACATGCCGGTATTATTTTCTCACTCCTTACAATCAAACTCACAGTTAAACTTGATACATGCAAACGTTGAGAGGCCGGTCTTTCCTCATTGGCCACTGACGACATGCAAGTATCTTCGTAGTCCACGCAGCAGTCGTTAAAAAAGGTGCAGACCGGATCGCATTGGCACAGCGCGCCGGCTGTACTATTGGGGGAAAAATACGACTGGAAGCCACAACCAAGGCTGCTGCAAAGGTGACGTTCGGTGCAGAGACCAACTGATGTACCAGCAAATTCAATCGTTGTCAACCAATCTGAAAATGAAATAAAGGGGTGGGGAAAGTGACAACCGAGTGTTTTAGCTATTGTTGTTCGATGAAGCCAGCCTGATTCATCCAGGAAATGCAATGAACGGTCGGAATCTGCGTAAATTGGGCACGGAGAAAATAATTCTTGACGACCATCAAATACAGTTTGTAGAGAAGACTTGTTTTTTATATCAACATTCAGGGTTCAATCCTTTTGGATGATTTTTTATCACTTTCTTAAAGTGTCTTGTGATACCAATATTGATGCCCAAGCTGCGAGTTACCGATTAAGCACACTGTGAAACACGGTATTAGCCTGCAAGTGAAACACAAGTCAAACCAGCGGATCCCATTAAAGACTCATTTTCATTTATCACAAAAGTAACCTACCAAATAGACCTTTATCATGCCGCCACCATTTCAGTCATGTTCCCTTTATACAATAACAGTACTGAATAATAATGTTTTTGCGCAAAAAGGAACCAGACTATTTTTCCTTCCAACCTCGCTTTGGTTGTGTTGATTTGAATAGGAAAAATCAAGATGGCCTCAACATGATAATGGTCTATTATCACAAAGATGACTTGGATTAAAGATTGTACTGGTACTAAACACTCCGTGAAATGAGTGCATCTGGCTTGCTGTTTTTTAAGACTGTCATGAACGAAATCCTGTTTCGGGATTAAAAGGTTGTGCATGGCTTTCACCGTTTTCTCGAAAAGTTTAATATCCAAGGAGTTGAAACTTTAACAGGTTAGGTTTTGAACATTCTTCTTTGGATTTTGAGTGGTGTTATTATTGGAAATGACCAAAATGCATGAAAATCAAATGATCCTATACATGTACATGCCAAGTAAAGGTCCTTGGTAACAGGGGATGAACAATGAAAAGGTTTGTCCAATTCATTTAGATGGCTTTTTATGAGAGTTCTAATCGAGTCGCTCGCAAGCCGAATCACAAGGCGGGTTACAAGGTACTGCTTCGTTGAGGCCAAAAAAAAAAGTCTCCGGTTTCTGGTATGGAGCTTGTCCAAAAAGTGGTGCGGCGACTCGGCTTTTTTTTTTTTACCTGACTTTTTTTGCTTCAAATGTCGGCTGATGACTGCAAATGGTGCCCGACTAAACTTAGTGCAAATATGTGGGAGTCCAGAGAGGCCACATAAAGCTTATTCTCGATCATAACCCCATCTAAAAACACGTTAAAATTGTGCAGCAGCAGGATTCCAGTCAAACCAGTGAGTTTGGCGGTTTTGAGACATCATGTTTCATTGAAAAAAAACTTTTTCATTTTGCCGACGCGCATGGCTACGGCGACGCGCGCGCATACCAGAAACCCGGAGACTTTTTTTTTGGCCTAATGAAAATGTCCGTATTCATGAGCAAGGTGTGATGTCATTTCAGGCAGAAAACCCTTACTGATATACATGTACAGCTATATTACAGCACTAAAAGTTGCCAGTATTTTGGATGTTTTGTTGTAAATTTTCTTTTCTTTAGCGTTTCGTTATTCAGCCATATGGTTGCGAGGGTGAAGCTTGGCTGGTTGTCAAGTAAAGCTAATCCGATTACCTACGCTGTAACAGAGCAGTGAAATTCGTGAACCCCCCAAAAACATGGCGTTTTGAACGTTGTGTTTCTCAGAAAATATGTTCAGTATGATTGAAATTTTAAATTATAACGGAAGGAGAAATTGTAAACTTCATGTCAGTGAAAAAAATCGAAGAAACCTCAATTATACTGGTTACTGGTAAAGCAGACCTTCAAGTCTGGAAGAAATCATTCGAAAACGTCCCCAAAACTATGTATTTACATGTATATCAATTTCTAGGAATTTACGAAAGTTGTTATTTCACGAGTAGTTGGACACTTATATCATCTAAGTATATTCCGAATTTCAAATTAATCTGTTGGTGCTAACGCTTGTGTTACAGCTCAAAATATCTCTAAGGAAAATCTCGACTGGGATTTTTTCCACCCAACCCGCTTGCATGGTTTTCGTATCATCTAAGTATATTCCGAATTTCAGCTTAATCTGGTGTTGCTTACGCTTGTGTTACAGCTCGAACTATCTTTAAGGAAAATCTCGACGAGATTTTTTCCGACCCAAACCCACTTGGTTTTCATAGATTCCGACCTGGCACAGCACAATAACGTGACATGGCGTGACTTGGCGTGGGTCTTGGTATCGACCAATGGAAGCCGGCAAAAAGGGTGATATTTATCAATTAATAACTCGTGAAGGAGGCATTTATGCAAATTTCTACTGCACACCATAATGGATAGGAACCTTATTAATATTTGTGAGGATTGAAAAGATTAGAAGACATTGCTAACACCAGTGTTACAGCTTTCAAATATGCACGTAGCCAGGCCTATGTTTCGAATTTCAACGGAAAGTAAAGAACATGACACAACGATTTTTAGCACATACTTGGATCATTATAAGGGAAATGAACCCTGAAAGTTGCATTCAGAAACAGTCTTCCAAACGGGAGAAATTAATTTTCAAAGATGTTGCCCGCCAAAGTGAACATGTGCGTGTACATGTAGTTTCATTCAAAATAAAGTGTTACGTAACCTTTAGAAATCGCCCTTCGCAACCACATAGCTGTATTGTGTAAGGAAAGGGCAGTAAGCCTATGAACAAACTGTTTTCAATGAGCGTTTTTTTTTCTTTTGGATTCACAAGTTGAGCAGAAAACTCCTGCACTGAAAAGGGTCTTCCCGAAATGGCATCACAACAACAGCGCCTTATCTTTCCGGAAAAGCATGAAACATTTTAATGTTTAAAGCAGTGCACTTTTCATATTAAAGCTAACAAAATAGGGATGTCAAATACGTTTCATACATTTGAGAGGAGTAGAAAGTTGCACAAAATGTGTTCCTCAGAAAAAGTCATATGTCATGGCCCTTTAATTTACGGAAACTAGCATGTAGCAACCATCACTCCGATAAACAAGACACTTTCCAGCAGATTTAAATGGTCGACTATCGCAATAGCTACATTACCGTGTTGATCTGGTGGGCTATCTGTCCCCGTGTCTGAAGATGTTGGTGTTGCAGACATTGTGTTTGTCGACGCATCTGCAGGTGGCTCATCTTGGGCCCGGACATGTATACCCGACTTCTTGTGTGCTGCATACAACAAAACGTTTAGCAGTGCAATAAACTTGATTATGTTCGCCATCGTAAAGCGCCGATCAAGACTTTTCTTGGTCTACTGTTAAAATGATTGCACTGCTGTGTGAGCGTCCAAGACCACGTCTAGTCATCCAAGCGCTGGCAAATCGGGTGTGAAATCACTTTGGCATAAACTGCTGACGATTTCAATTGGTAGAGTCCATGTTGCAGAGTGGCATGCCATACCGGTTATTACTTTTAGCTGCAGCCTTGTGTCCGGTGCTAAACGGTGTCAGTGTCATTACAATTCCATGGAACACCGTAGCAAAAGGATAACTTTAGTTGGTTGCAACCAATTCCGCCAGATTCGTTTTACCCAAGACACCGTCCGTATTTTGGTCAGATACTATCACCATAGCAGATTGCAAAGCATTAATTTTAAAATTGCATATTATGCAGACAAAATCGAGATAGATAGAAACAAATCTTTTCTGTACGCAACAACTGCAGAATTCAGTGTTGACAACTCGAAAGCTATAATCGCCGAGCTCTAATTCGTCGTCTGATGAGATGCATGACCGTTATCAGATGAGCACTTGTTTATGCGTGGAACGTCTTTTTGGCTTGATACCGGTATATTATGTGCATTGCCTCGTGATGCATGAAGTGGCAACAATGGCAGTGCGTCAAACTTGACATAAAATCTTCAAGGTCTGCTTTATGTTTTGAATTATGCAGGTAGTCACTATTTGCGCCTTGGCAGCTTGATTATGGTCATCACAATATTGTGCCTATGACCGGCATCAGGACATCGTGACGCATTGCTGCAAGCCTTTAGATATTCGAGGAAGTCATTCCTTTGATACGAGAAATCTATAAGGTGTTTGTTTTATACTGTATGGCTTAGCATGTGATAAAAATGTCCAACAGTGGCTTTGCCCAATTTGCAGAGATAACTTAAATATTTTTTTGAGGCGGAGGGCACTCAACCATTGTAAATTCAAAGTTCATGTTTGCCACTCACAAGTCGGATCTTGGGGAAGAAAGAGGGGGAAGGGAACCACAGGCCTCGATCAGGAGCCCGTGCCCCACGCACCCCGCCCCGACTCGCCTCTAAACCGTTTCACGGATACCGCCATCTTTGTGGTCATGTAGTACTCGTTGGGCGCATTTCATCGAAGCAAATTTGTCCCGTCATTCTGATGATATCATGGATAGCCCCAAGGATCATCACGTGCATGATCACGTAGATGGCGGTATCCGAACTTACGCATGCGTGACTGCTTATTGGAAAGTTGTTTACCAAAGAGAACTACCATGACATTTCGGTTTTCTCATTTACAAAGGACGCCGCAGGCGTATTTTTTTTCCTAGGAGGGTTAGGGGCAATGTCATGAATAATTCAGTTTTTCCTTTGAATCATTGCAAGACTTAGGTTCTCGTTCTATTTTCCCCTTAATTTAAAATTATCTCAGTGATACATTTGGAGAAGAAAAATAGCTGATGAAAATGAGCAGCGACGACCATAGCTCATCTCGCTATCCACTAGGCTATTGTGTGGTAGCTCGACGACAACCGTTCTTTAAAATGCTTTAATGTATTGTAACTAGTTGAGTAACTAACAACAATGCTGTGGATGTCATTGTCCGTTCTCATGGATAAACATGAATTATTCATGACATTGCCCCTAACCCTCCTAGGAATAAAAATTACGCACGCCGCAGTGGTTGTATTGGTCTTGTTTCAATTTTTTGGTTGTTTTGACATTCGATCTAACACCGCCAGAGGGCGCTGTCACCAATTTGCGCAAGTGGCGGATTCAACCTTCATCGAAACCATTCCAACAGTGAAGCAGCCACAAAGATTATTCAGTAGCCGATTGCGACAGGGCATCCACAACAGAAAAGTGCAAAGTGCTTGATCCGCCACTGATAGCGTCAGCCGTTTGGAAAGCCGGGATCATGGCCTACTCAACTTTGCAGACGTTTGGGAAAGGGTTTTTTGCTTTCGATGATGTGTGCACAATTACCATAACTGAGTTTGGACAGTTTGGAATTTGAAAACAGGCTCCACATGCAGGCATGTGCCATATTCCAGTACAATTTCTTCTAAGAATATTAATATATTTGCACATTTCTGGATTCCTTTTTATAGCACAAGAAGATAATGGGACCATTAAGCTTGTCTAATGAAATATTTCATGTACGGCGCCGTGTTACTTTAACTCTGTCTGAGTACATTTTTGGCAACTCCAGCCAACGCTGTAAAATAAAAGGGCAGTCTACGAGGGGTTTGGTGGTTTGCATGCACATCACAGCACTTGGATTTTTAATTAAACTTGTAAGATAATGAACCAAGTACTATGTGATGATAACTCATATAATTCCGACAAGATAGGGGGTTCTCTTATTCTTATAGAGTACCGGGTCTAAATTTTCAAAATAATACCATACCAAAAGAACCAGCGCCACCCATTCCCTTCAAGTGCAAGTCGAGAATTCAGTCAAACTGCGACCTAAATACTCATGTCAATGGCATGTCAAGCGACTCAAGATCCGGATCATTGGCGCAGCTTTGTTTGTTGTAGCACGCTTTTATAGTTCGCGGGATCCGGTTCGGGATAATACCGAAACAAACTTGTCCGCTCAGTTTGTCTACCGATGGTAGGCAACTGCAAGGAAGACAAACACACATCACGTGAACATCTCCGATCCATTTCACAATAAATCCACTTCACAGGCATAGTTCAACTTCACCTTTGGAATGGCATGGCGAGTATAGGTATTTGTTTAACTTCTATAAAGGTGTTAAGATAACGCATAACTTGAGGTTGCGCCCAGCACTCGTTGATTTCAATAGAATCCACTTCTGTTAGGAGGGCAAGCTGAACGAGGGCATGTGGTCCTCAGATAAAAAGTTCGCCCAATCTTCAACTGATCTCAAAAAGAGACACCCCCCTCCCTGGCCCGCTGCTCAAGGCCTGTTTATGCAACACCAGGAACTGGCGCTACATGTTCTGGACTATTATGTGTATAGGCCCCTATCTTCATTTACCTCCTTGATCCCCACTTCAACCAGTAACTTTTGTGGTGGGTTTTTCCCTTTACATGTTATAAAGTGTAATGAAGGTAAACTGTGATGAGAAACACAAGTCACTTCAGACCTTACCACTTTTCTGATACGGATTTGTGTTGTGATACGGATATATTTGGTGTAATGCACTTTGCCCCTGCGCCAAATTATATTGCACCATTTGAAGATGATATGTGCGGTTTTATGCATGCATTATTAATGTGCCTCAGTCAACGTAGATGTATAGTGTACCGTTACCTAGGTTTCGTGTACCAAACACTGAAGTCCGTTCCTTCCTGATCGATTACAAACAAGAATATCTTCACTTTCGGCCAGCTGTTTTACCTCTGTTGCAGTGTTGTTTTGTTTTCTAGTGTGTACATATAGGTGACATTGATTATTGTAACCTTTAATATTTGCTCTGTTAAGAATCTAACTGTATAGCATCTGCCTGTGCACTCTAAGGTCGTTTTTGTTTCCTGAAATATTATTTCGCCGATTGCACCGAGATTTCGCATTATTAATTCGATACGACGCCCGCCTTGAAAGTAAACATATACCGTTCAAAGGTTAGTCTGTTTCGGTGGCTGCTGTAGAATAATGACATCGCCGGTGCATTTCACCACTCCGATATATAGCTTTGCGGCGTGCGCATGCATAGACACGTAGGCCTAGGCTACTCATAAGGTAAGTTCATTTTTTTTTATGGGGAAGCATATGTTGAGTTGGGATGTTGCTCCATGCCTGTGTTTGTTTGTGTTTTACCCATGGTTTTCATTCCGATCCAGACTCTGTATGAGAACTTATTAAACCACTCTCTAAAATGTAAAAGGGTGAAAACCAGTGGAACGGTTGTCCCCATGGGGCTCTTTTAAAAAGAGAGGAGGTTAATTCACTCTTTTAGAGATGTTTTCACTATGGGCGCCTAGTGAAAAACCAAACAAAACGATGCAAATTTCTATCAAAATAGTGAAAAACCACTCGAAAAGGCTCAAAAAGCTGCAAATATTACTCGAAAAGAGAGTGAAAAACCACTCGGAAAGAGTTGCCCCCATATGCTCTCAGTTAAAAAGGTGGTTTCTTTCACTCTGTTACATTTTTTAGAGAGCAGGGACATTCATGCAGCATTGAGTCAACCAAAACAATGGATTGCATAATTATGTTTGTTCATAATTTTTACAATAAGTGGCAATTGACGAATGTAGGCCTTTATAATTATGTATGTAGGCCCCTAGTATCATATGCTGCGAATATAATGATGGAACTAAAATTATGCGAGCATAAAGGGCTACTGTTGAGTCTCACGAGGTTAATAAACATTTATTGTTTTGTCTGTGGTCTTTCAATAATCTACAAAATGTTAATTATCTGTGTTCAATGTCATTTTTTTTTCGACGTCAAGGTGTACAAATATCAATTCAATATTGTTTGACTGCTCCTGGTGTAAATAAAATCTCCTAATTCAGACAAGGTGACTTCCTCTTCTCGTAATGACGTATTTGTGGAAAAACACCTGCCGTTTCCTACCATACATAACATGTGCATCCAGAGGGGAGTGTTTGGCAAAAGTCAAAATGTTGATGCAATATTTCGTTAAAATGAAGTATTAAAAAGAACCTATTTCAATCAAATACTCTTCTCGATACAATACAATACAATATTTTATTGTATGGTATTGTAAATAAAATCTCGATATGATATTTATTTAATTTCCAATTGAAAAGGTCCATCAGCAACGCTTCAGGGCCATTCCGACAGTGGTCAAGTTTAATTTTATGGATAAAGTCATTGACGTTTGATATAAAGGATTCGATTCTTTGATCGCCCAAAATAATGTCTGCATTTGAGTAAAACTACTGAAGGACTGGTTGTCTGTTTTAAGGCATAATAAGACAATTTGCCTTTCATGCATGTTTTTTGCTTCCCTTAATAGCGCCACTCAAAATCCAAAGAAGAACGTTCAAAGCCAAACCTGTTAAAGTTTCAGCGCGGTAAATATCACATTTTTCGAGACAACAGTGAAAAACCATACGTAAACTTTTGATCACGAAACACGATTTCGTCAATTCATTCCATCAATCAATTATTGAATGATCGTTGTAAATCACCTACATTTCTAGATTTTTTTTGGCCAAATGACAGCAAGCAAGGTGGAATAATTTCAAATCAAGGAGACAAATGCGATCTTTAATTAAAGTAAGCGTTTTGATAATATTTAGGTAAGGTTTAATTTTAAGATAAATGCAAATGATCCTACATGTTTTAGATATTCTCCGACTTGGGCCCCTATACACGGAAAACGTAAAGAATTTATTCGCGGCTTCTTTATTAATTTCTTTAGCGTCGGTGGGTATACGCAGAGTCAAACTTTTTCTTGCATGTAGACAATGATGAAATCACAATGAGACAGTGACACGCATTTTTGAAATTGAGTATTTCAATTTTTAGGGACGTGTTGGACCAAATCGACCTTAGTTTGTTTGTTTGTGTTTAGCTATGTAACCAAGTCAACTATTTACATTATGACAAAAGGTCAACGATACACACTGATACAAGTTGAGAGACACTCCCAATGGACCGATCCAGTAAGCCCCTCCCACTGCGCACGTGGCAAATTAACACGTGCTTCTCTCCAATGCCACACTGCATTTTTCTGCCGCGCGCATCATACGCGCGTGCACGCATGTCGGACTTTTGTGCACGCATGTCGGACATAAATCACGGCTGTGGTTGGTCAGAATACCATGGGGCGGTGCTTACAGGATCGGTCCATTTGTTGACCTTTGTTGTCGCCTCAAAATAGATCCTTTCGTGAACTCATATCTTCCAAACAGAGTGCACGTACAGTGACTTCTGTTATAAATTCTCCCCAAGATTATGACGGTTTCTATTGTTTTCTCTTTCTACTCTAAGAAATAAAGAATGCTGTAATGTGAGGTGAGGGAGGGTTTAACAGAGTTAGGCATTTTTTCTTTTGGTATCTATTAATCAGTCATCGAATACGGAAGATTTAAAAATTTTTTTTTTTTTTTTAAACTTTTGACATCCGTTTTACTGATATGAATTGATCGGGATCAATTTCGATGAAATATGGAATTATTTCACCGTGCTTTCGGACAATTTCGCTCCTGCCCTTTGCCCCATGTCCACTGACGCTAGTGATGAGCTGATCTTATACCAAATATTTTGAAGGAACCGCAAAGCATTATAGGCTGGCTAACCACCATGGCTCAAAGAAATTAGAAGTTGGCAATTAGACATGACTCAAAAATGAGAGAATATAGAATGTTTTTCCCCCCTGTGCATAATTACTAACGCCATTTTAATACATATCATGATCAATATACACTTGCAAGTAGTGCAGTTTATGTTTCCTGGTTGGCATTTTGCGTGCAAAATTATTCCTACCATTTAATTTCACATATTCACAATAAAAGGTCAGTATTCAGAACATGTCATAAAGTGACATTTGAGAATTATGCATAGATTTCAACCGTAATTTTACTGGTACCCTAGATTCATACAGAATGTATGAAAAATTAGGCTTATTTTTTTCAAGGACAAATCCTGTGAAAATATGTTCTACCATTCTGTCTCAAATGGATCTTTCGTCCGACCGACAATTTTAGCATGCTTAGGCCTATAGTGTGAATATTATGGTAAGTGGTGTTGAAGTCTTACATATTATACAAGCATTATTAATCAATCAATCTGTGAACGTTTGGTGGTTTCTATGGTGGCCCTGAAGGGACATCAAAGACACAAGTTATTTATTTCACGACATTGCAACATTTGTCACGACATCGCAACATTTGTCAGGACATGGTATTTTTCACGACATCGCACAATATTTCGCGACATGAAATTCACGAAATGTATTGATGTAATATTTTTTGGTAGCGAACATTTTCCCCACCACTTTATAGAGGTTATATATGTTGAATACGTATTTTACAGCACACTTTTCTTCTGTAGCACTGACGGATCAAAATGAATGGGTTAAAATGCGGAAATAAAATATAACAGTCAGAATGTCTGGACCGTGTTTGAAACTATAAAACACCGTGTCTCAGTGTTTTACTGAAGAGAGTATTACTTACACATCGAAATACATAAAAAGAAAATACAAGTACACTTATTATGCTTTGGAAAAAAAGTTTAAAATTTGAGCGTGCGCAACGATATGACCCTCTGAGGTGGGAAAACAAGTTGCGACAAACAAAACCACGACACACATGAATGCTCATGTCGTGAATTTTATGTCGCGAAGAGGAAGCAAATTGCGGCAGGGTAAAAAATGACATGAAAAAACTGTCGTGAATTTTTTGTTGTTGTGCAAAGTCATGAACAAAATTGCAACATCCTGAAAATGTTGCGATGTCGTGGGAAAAAATGCGATGTTGTGAAAATTTTGTGATGTAAAATATATTATTTACGTCTTTTATGTCCCTTTCGGACCACCATAGGTATCAGTGCCTCTTGTTCGATGAGAGGGCGTGTCGCTGATGTGAATACAAAAGGTCAAGTGCGGTATAACAATGTGTAAAACCAACCTTCAGCCATATTGCAATTTTCCAACCACCGTTAGCATATGTCAATCTGTACTTTGAACCTTTGCGATAGGCGACGACGTATTGGTGAATGGAATGGTGCCGACGTTTTTCACCATTTTCGCATTTTTGCTCTGTTTATTTGTCCGTGTTTTGTTGGCTTTTTGGGTGGTGCCTTTCCGGTTTGAGATTGATAGCTGCGTGTTTCTCTTAGTGTGTGTGATTTTGTTCTTTTCTGCTTTCTCTAACCCATTACTTTTAAAAGCCAGACTTCAATTAAATAGAAACATTTTCTCTGTTTTTCCCCGAAGCTACACACGAAGGAGGCTTTTGCTTGGTCTACACTTTGTTTCGTTTTATCCGTCATCTCCATTTGATGAGACATGGCTTTACCAACGTGGAAGGGGTTCGTCGTCTTCTTAGGCCTCATCTCCATGGCGTGTCTGGTTCAAGCACAAAGTACGTACCTAAATGATCAAACGGCGATTCAAAGAGGCCAAAAATGTAAAGTTACTTGTATTGAAAGGGCATTTTGCAATAAAAGTTTTGCATATAGTTCATATGCAACAGTATATTAAACAAGATGTGGTGATGATTAACCTACATCGACTAATTGTGGTCAACCGCCAGAGTAGGGGAATGACTCAGTAGACAGTGCCTGCGCGCGAAAAAAAAACCACTCGAATTTGTCCCCCGTATGGCTTTCAAAAAGAGTGTAAGTTCACTCTTTTAGAGTGCTTTTCACTATCGGCCATATTACAAAACCACTCAAAAAGATGCAAACTTTACTCTAAAATAGTTTTTAAAAAAGTTGTCTCATAATGGCTCTTTAAAAGAGTGGTTTTAATGAATAATTGTGTAACAGTTATTTGATTTCTATTGCTGTTTTAGAGAAAACAAAGTAAATTCAGTCAATTCAATCCTTTGGGTCATTGTATACATTTGGGTCTACTTATTTCTGTCCCTGCTACATGTGACATCTGTTTATAATTCTGGTTGCACTCATAATGCAATCGTTCTGCAATAGAGAAATTTATAAAGCAAACCGCCTAGAAACAAATAAACAATCGTTTAAAGTCTTTCTTATGGATAAATGATTGGTAAATTAAGAAGTACCAAGGTAACAGGGACAGGGAAAATGTCACACTGTGGACCCTAAATTAATAGGAACCAGTGTATTTACAGGACAGGGGCAACTGATTTTGTCATTTTTTTGCTACTTGGGTTTCTTGGCTGTTACTAATCCCAGAACTCTTATAACAGAGATGAACATTTTGAATAATTATGACAAACGAGTACTGGTATTCTTATAGAATGTAGCTAAAGGTGTTGTTGTTGTTGTTGTTGGTGTTGTTGGTGTTGTTGGTGTTGTTGGTGTTGTTGGTGTTGTTGGTGTTGTTGTTGTTGTTGTTGTTGTTGTTGAAAGTTTACCGTGGGTATCCGACTTCAAGTTTTTAAACGTTTTATAATAAAATGGATCTTTTTTCTAATTCATTTCTAAACCAAAAATAAAATATCCTTTATTGGTCATCAGAGCCCATCGAACATAGAGCTTTAGACTTCATCCACAGTCTTACAGTCCAGTTTGACACGATGGGAAATGGAAAGAATATCACTGTCATGATTACATTGGGGGAAATATAGAGGTGATATCCAAGGCAAAGTGGTGAATATTTACCTTTATAATGAAAAAAAAATCACATATTAATAACGCCTGTATAGTGAGATAATCATACTGCAGTAAAATAACGTTACAAAAGAGATCATTACCGAATGTATATAAGGTATCGAAATGGAACTATCTAGTAGGCCTACTTATAAGAACTGTCATATGACAGTAATAATAAGTGATAAATTCCACATATGTAATTTTATCTGACATGTAGTTATAGGATCCAAAGTGCGACGTTTTCCCCTGCCCTTTTTAACTTGGTCCTTTGTAATTTGCCATTCGAGTATCGGGACAGGCTATAAGCCAGGCACCTCATGTATGATGTATTGCCCACTGCCCGTTATAGATCTATCCCATTTGTGGATACAGATGCGCCCAACTGCAGATCAAGACACTTAGGTTCTTGGACTCTTCTTTTCTCTTAAATAAAAATCATCCCAAGTTTAAAGAAGTAAAATAGTAGATGCAAAATTGGCATGGGTTGATTCGAACCGGAGATCTTTCGATTCATAGCTCATCGCACTGTCGACGTGTGGCAGCTCGACGACAGCCTGGAATTTGAAATCGGGTTTTCGATGTTGAGAGACCGGCGCCCGTGACGTCATACAGAAGTGCCGGCAGCGGCATGACTTATCACATCTCCCTTCAAGTATCATTATGCAATGGCTTCAAATTATGTTTTATTCGTTGGAAAGGTATAGTTTGCTTGTAGTAGATGTAACAGGAACAGGAACAAGTGCGAGTGCGCAATAAGCTCTGGCCGTGTTGCAAGAAATCGATCAAAATGCGACGCCGAAAAGTGTGACGCCGATGGCAGATATAGAACGCCATACCTTTGGTCATTTTTTTCGGGTACAGACAGACAGACCGACCACCAAGTGACATATATAGAAGCTCCTGCCAGCTTTTTTTTTAATGGACCTCAAAATCATATGACCCATGTAGAGTTTTGGAGATATCGGCCTTGACATTTCGTCGCTATTTTTCATCATTTTTTCTCTTCAGATCCAAATGTTACCTGTCCAACTAACGACACTCGGAATGTAGAGCCTTCTCGGCCCAATGCCACTGTAATCTGGTCACAAAATGCATCAGCTACTGATGTTAACTCTACAGTACTGAGTGTAACATGTAAAGACGATAGCGACACAGAGGTATCATCAGGTGACAGCTTTTCTGTTGGTGTAACCACAATCACATGTTCAGCTACAGATGCGTTAGGGAATATGGGCAGTTGCACATTCACCATCACTGTCATAGGTATGTGTTCAATGTATTTCTATTTTTGTTAAATGTTTGATATTTTTTTTATGTTTGTTTTTACAATTTTTCTTTCCGTTTTGTTTCAGATGATGAGGCACCTATTGTCAGTTGTCCGAGTGACACAAGTCAGAATGTAGATTCTTCTCAGCCCTATGCAGCTGTAGACTGGTCCCCTCTACCATCAGCCACTGATGCCGTAGGTCCTCTAAACCCAAATGTAACGTGTAAAAATGAAAACGACACAGAAGTGGACTCGGGTGCCAAATTTCCTGCTGGTGTAAGCACAATCACATGTTCAGCTACTGACACTGCAGGAAATGAAGGAAATTGCGCCTTCAACATCACTGTTATAGGTAAACAGTTTTTCAAGACTTCATGATGTAAAAATTGCCTGGGTTAATTTTACCCATGCAAGAAAGGGTTAAAACTAGAAGGTCATACAAGACCAATTTAAATTTGGTCTTAAATGACCACAAGTTTTGGTTGAATTTAGCAGAAATTCTAACCCAAACAATTGGTTATAGAACTTATAAGGTACTTCCAGTTTTCACCCTTTCTTGGGTAAAATTAACACAGGCAATTTTTCAGTGATATGGGGAAGCCAACGGCGTTTGGAAAAAAAATGTGCTAAATGCACATTTCATACGGTGACCTGTGAAACACGATGACTTCATCAAATCGGGCCTTTGTGGAAGGGCGCCGCTTACATCTTCTAAAATAAAAATAACCGCTCTCGAAATAAATTGCTCTAAAAATACTAAATGCTCTCAAAAAGGCTAACTGCTCTCGAAAAAAGAAAAAAAAACTGCTCTCGAAAAAAAATAATTGCGCTCGAAAAAAGTGGTCGCACTAACGGGCTTTCGTTCAACTTTAAGAAGGCGGAAGGAGTTTATTTTCATTGTATGCAATCGCACAATGTTGCTTTCTGCCAGTGTTGATAAATAATAAATTATTGTCTCTAATCTCTTAGTCGATTTGTATTGTATGATTGTAAGGTTGGCGAGTGGGGGGGGGGAGATAGAAATGGGGATTACCAAAATAACTGTACAGCCGTCGAAATAAAAAAAAAGCGGGAAGGAACACCAAAATGACACTAGGAGGCGCAGTTCATGACACAAAATGTACATTTTAAAACAATAACATAATTATGCATTATGTAAGATTAAATTTTATTACTAACTTGAGCCAGTGTGCATAACATGATTTGTTAACTTCCGTGCTTACGTCCATTGACCTTATATCAAAACGGTGAATTTAAAGCTTTTGTTACGTCTGTTCTGTGTCATTAAGCACTTTTAAGTACAATTGGACAGTTGCAAAGCTAGAAAATAACATCAAAATCGTTTTTTTTTTCTCACCACAAATATCGAGGGGCGGGGCCGGGGGGGGGTGATCCAATGACCCATCCACCCATTCAAAAAGTGGGAGGGGGGCTTATCCTCCCGTGATTGACGCCCATGTTTATTAAAGTTTCTGTGGTTATTTTAACAGATGATGAACCGCCGATCCTGACCTGCTCAAATGACACCATCGAAAACACTGATCCTGGACTGCCAACCGCTGTTGTTGTCTGGGATCCACAACCTACGGCCATTGATGTTGTTGATGACGACATGGCTCCCATCAGCTGTGAGGATGAAAGTGGCAGTATGGTTGAATCAGGTGAAGCCTACAACGTCGGTGTGACGGCAATTACATGCAAAGCTTCTGATAGTAGCAGCAACGAAGGCAACTGTTCATTTTCAATTACAGTTGGTATGTACAATGTTATATTTCCCTGTAACTCATTTCCATTTTGTTCCCCAGATTTGCAGTGTACAAAAACCGCAAACTTGACATCTTCACGCGTCGTGAATATGTTACGTGTTCTCAATTAGTGTGTAACTTTGTGAAAGGTATTAGTCGAGAACTACAAATAGTATGCATGAGCTGGGAAGACGTGAACGGCAGCTCGATCAAACCAGTTATAGCTTTGAACTACTGTTACTGGTGGAGCAAATAAATTGGGGTCATGTGGGCTGTCTCGGTTCCGTATGCAAACTGCAGAACACGCTCAGTACGAAAAAAAAGTCATTATTAACTCACAGACCGTCCCGCGCCTGCGGTTGCTATTTAATTTCAGAATATTCATCTGATGTGTTTGTTTACGTTGTTGGTATAACGTCGTGAGTCTTGGGACATTCATTCCGCAGAGTTGATTTCCACGGTCGTTGTTTTTTCCTTTTATACCAATGAATGATGTATGTAATTTAATAGTTTATTCAAACTTTCTTTTTGTCCGCCCCAGTTGATAACGAAGATCCAGTTGTTAATTGTTCTGGTGACATCGATCAGAATGTAGAGTCTTCTCAGCCCGATGCCGCAGTAGAATGGACAGTCTCAGCTACTGATAATGTCGATGAATTGGGACCTGCCAATGTTACCTGTAGGAATGACAGCGACGTAGAGGTATCATCAGGTGACAGATTTCGCGCTGGTTTACACACAATCACGTGTTCAGCTACTGACACTGCAGGAAATGAAGGAAATTGCGCCTTCAACATCACTGTCACAGGTACAAGTTTATTTCGTCGGATTCAGCGGCGGCCTCCGTAAAACCGAACAGTGGGAGGAGGGGTGGGAAGAGGGGGGGGGGGGGCTGGTACCATCTTCCAAAATAGGGGGCGCTTTTAGAAACCGGCCAATATGCAAACCACGCATTATATGCCCATTTTCAGGGCGCATTGTAAGAGTTTCGGGGCTTTGTCTTCATATTCCTCGTACATATCAGAACTCTCTTAACCATTTTGGGAAATGGTTACTGAAAACAAATCATCCGAAATTTAAAGGCCAGTTTTGTGTGACAGAGAATACACAATTGAAACAATTAGCTACTAGAAGTGATAACAGGTGAAAATTTGGATGCCGGGGTTAGTATAATTTTACAATTTATTTTTCCGTTTTGTTTCAGATAATGAGGCACCTATTGTCAGTTGTCCGAATGACACAAGTTGGAATGTAGATTCTTCTCAGCCCGATGCAGCTGTAGACTGGTCCCCTGCACCATCAGCTACTGATGTTGTAGGCCCTCCAAATCCAGCAGTAACGTGTAAAGATGAAAACGACACAGCGGTGGACTCGGGTGACATATTTCCTGCTGGTGTAAACACAATCACATGTTCAGCTACTGACGATGCGGGCAATGAAGGACAGTGTACCTTCACCATCACCGTCATAGGTAGGAGTTTGTATTGAAGGTATTTTTTAAACTTTGAGTTCAATCTTGACGAAGGTAGGAGGGTACTAGAGTGGCCGTAAAAATAATGATCTATACTGTGACGGAATGATTCTTAGCGATGAAAGATGCAGATAAAAACTGACAGTGATATCAAAGTAAATTTAGGAAAAGAAACATAAACTAGCTCCTGAGAAGTGAATAGTATACTGGCAGTAGTTAACATATCGACAACGGGTATTCCTGATTGTTTTCTTTCAGATAATGAGAAACCGAATGTTACTTGTCCTAATGATGCCACTGAGAATGTCGAGCCTTCTCTGCCCGATGCAGCTGTAATCTGGTCCCCTCTACCATCAGCTACTGACAACGTAGATCCTCCAAGCCCAGTAGTAACGTGTAAAGATGAAAGCGACACAGAGAAGGTTTCGGGTGACAGATTTGTTGCTGGTTTACACACAATCATATGTTCAGCTACTGACACTGCAGGAAATGAAGGAAATTGCACCTTTACTATAACTGTCAGAGGTATGCCTGCAAATTATGTCTCATTTTAATCGTTGTAATAATGATAATAATAATATTAATAATAATATTTCAAACTTTTATGTGACGCTATACGAAGAACAGAGCGCCTAGCAATAACAAAGAGGGGAGAACTTGTGAACATATGCACAATACACACACACACAACTTTCAGGGGCGGATCCAGAATTTTTTTACAGGGGGGGGGGGGGTTCATCAGCCAAAAAATCAGAAAATGTACACAGGTTTTTTTCTCCGGACACTTGGCCTCCGCAAATCAACAACTGGGAGGGGGGGGGGGGGACTGGTACCATATTAGGGGCGCTGTTCAAATTCGACGATTATTAACACTACATTACAGAATGTGTACCATATTTTGAACAGGCGGACCAGTATAAATTATACCAGTATAATTTTTGGTTGGTGTCACAGCGGGGGGGGGGGGGGGGGGGGGGGGGGGGGGGGGGGGGGGGGGGGGGGGGGGGGGGGGGTAGACTTATTTTTTTAGGACTTTGTATGATTTTTTTTTGACAGAGCTGGGGGGGGGTCACCCCCCCCCCTTCTGGATCCGCGCCTGAGACTTTCTTGCTATTCGTAAAAGATTAATATATTTCGACTCGGGCGAATTTCGCAGCGAACGTGCCATGACGTCAAATTCGCTTCGCATTCGCATTCGCGTGAAGTATGAACCGGGCTTCACACGGGGCTCTTGGCCATTTTCATACAATTATTAGGCCTATTGTTGATTTCGAACTGCATGTTTTTGTGTTTCTTTTGTGCGAAGTTGGCGGGGTTTATTGATTTGTATATCAATCACGTGGATAAAGCCCAGTTCATATACCTCACGCGAATGCGAATGCGAATTCATGAAACATTCGTTGCGAAATTCGCCCGTTTTGAAATACGTTCAACTTGTACGAATTCGCAGCGCGAATACTTGCCATGACGTCACAAATTCGCGATCGCTTTTGCACAGAGTATGAACAAATCAATTTTCGCAAATTCGCAGCGCGAAACCTCCCCCCCCCCGCCCCTTTGACGGCACAAATACGCGTTCGCTTTCGTGCTGACTATGAACCGGCCTTAACTTGTTTAACCTTTTCTTATTGTTTAAAATCTAGACAATGAGGCCCCCAACATCACTTGTCCGACTGGCCGAAGTGTGAATGTGGCTGAGGGTAAATCCACGGCTAGTGTGACGTGGGTTTCAACGGCAAATGATGCCGTGGATGGGAAATTGGACACATCATGTGAACCCCAGTCAGGAACGGAATTCGCAAATACAACTGTGGTGAATTGTACGGCAACTGATGAAGCCGGTAACAGTGAGTCGTGCGATTTTGCCATCACCGTAACAGGTCAGTATTTTCATAAAACCAAACACCAAACTAAACTAACCAAACTAAAACAACCCAAACTAAACTAACCCAAGCTCTTCCAACCAAACTCACTCCAACCCACCCCAACCAAACTCAACATAATCCAATCAGACCCAACCCAATCCAGTGCACAACCCAACCCAACCCAATCCAACCCAACCCAACCCAACCAAATCCAACCCAACCCAACCCAACCCAACCCAACCCAACCCGCACCCAATCCAACCCAATTCAACCCAACCTAACCCAACCCAACCCAACCCAACCCGCAACCCAACCCAATTCAACCCAATCCAACCCGCAACCCAACCCAACCCGCAACCCAACCAAACCCAACCCAACCCAACCCAACCCAACCCAACCCAACCCAACCCAACCCAACCCACACAACCCACACAACCCAGCCCAACCCAACCCAACTCAACCCAACCCACCCAACCCGACCCAACCCAACCCAACCCAACCCAACCCAACCCACACAACCCAACCCAACCCAATTCAACCCAACCCAACCCAACCCAACCCAACCAACCCAACCCAACCCACACAACCCACACAACCAGCCCAACCCAACCCAATTCAACCCAACCCAACCCACCCAACACAACCCAACCCAACACAACCAACCCAACCAATTCAACCCAGCCCAGCCCAGCCCAACCCAACCCAACCCAACCCAACCCAACCTAGACAACCCAGCCCAACCCAACCCAACTCAACCCAACCCACCCAACACAACCCAACCCAACCCAACCCAACCCAACCCAACCCAACCCAACCCAATTCAACCCAACCCAACCCAACCCAACCCAACCTAGACAACCCAGCCCAACCCAACCCAACTCAACCCAACCCACCCAACCCGACCCAACCCAACACAACCCAACCAAAGACAACCCAACCCAACCCAAATTCAACCCAACCCAACACAACCAAATCCGACCCAACCCAACCTAATCAAGCATAACCCAACCCAATTCAACCCAACCCAGCAAAGCCCAACACATCCCAACCCAACCTAACCCAGTTCAACCCAACCCACTCCAGCACATCCCAACCCGACCCAACCCGACCATACTCAACCCAACCCAACCCAACCCAACCCCAGCTTAAACCCAATCTAACCCGTCTCAAGCCAATCCAGCCCAACCCAACCTGTCCCAGCATAACCAAACCAGAATTTAAGGGAATAGGGTCAAGAAAGCATGCTTTAAACACTCCTGTCTGCAATTTTTCTGTAATTTTTTTGTGTATTTTTTTCTCTCTCGTAATAATATTATCAGCCATATGAACAGCCGCAATTCTTGGTGTCATGTATTTGCTTTTGTACACATGATTTTTTTCTGCTCCCAATAGTTGATGGACAGCTATGTCCACTTACCCCTTCCGAACTGTGTATCTGTGACAGCATGCACTGTGTGTGTAAGGAGGGTAAAAGTGGACCAAACTGCTATGGTGAGTGAACATCAGGAAAATACATGGACCGATAGAGTAACTGCTGAGGCATAGAGCATACCATACTAAAGCAGTGTTGTAGTCCAGTTTAATGCTTGAGTTGAGTCCTACAAATGGGCCCGTTTGTTTCATTCCAAATCCTGCTCGAGATCATGTGATCCATCATCCAGCGCCGTGTCAAAACAAGCACAGGACCACTCTCGTACGTCGAACCCTCGAATGTCGTCTGCTTCAGATTTTGTAGGCAGAAAGGCTATTTTTATGTTCAGCTTAGAATAATTTCCAGAAAAAAAGTAAATAAATCGCACTCTTTTTTAATCAAGAAAATGCAGTCTAAAAGAATTATAGAGACAAATTGACACAAAAGCTGATTTCATGCTTTAAATCTGCTAAATAATTACCACTTTTTCTCTCCATCCGTCGCGCTCGTCGCCATCTTTGATCTTGCGAATCCACCTCGCGAGCAGGATCCGTTAAAACGTGATCTGGAGCAGCTATCGACGCCTCGGATCACTGATCGCGATCCAGATCTGCGCGAAACAAACAACCCCTAGTCTTATCTCAAGTCCACGAAAGCCCATTAGCGCCACTGGAGTATGTAAGGACGGATTTATTAATTCGTTATTACGGATTATTGAATTCGTTATTATACGGATTATTTATTCGTTATTTACGGATTATGTAATTCGTTATTACGGATTATGAATTCGTTATTACGGATTATGAATTCGTTGTTACGGATTATGAATTCGTTGCTACGGATTATTAATTTGTTATTACGGATTGTTTAATTCGTTATTACGGATTACAATTTTTTTCAAGAGGGGGCAATAAATACTTCTCCACATATTCTCTATTTAATTTTTTAAAGGGGACAGGGACATTCCCCCCACCCCATTAAATTCACAGCAATATTACATCGCGCCTCTTTTTCTTTCCTTTTTTCTCTTTGTTTTCCTTTGGGGGGGGGGGGGGCAAGCGCCCCCTCCCCCCCCCCCCCTCCGCGACGCCCATGTCCATAGCCTTCTATGCAGTCGTATCATTGTCGCGGCTGCCAACAGAAAAAAAAGGAAACGGATGTTAGAGGTTACTCCAATGTCTTTTGGGTCTGAATTTATATCATGAGTGTAGAATAATAGTTGCAATACCTTCCTTTGCAATACTGTGACTTTGTTCACGAAAAGCTGGCGTTTTGAAGAATATAAATGATAAATAGTAATAAGTTTGTATACAAAGTTAATTGACCCATCCCAGGGTGCCAGAGGTCTGATATGCTCCTCCCATATCTGAAATTATTTAAATGGAAACCCAAATATCTTTAGTACATGTGTGAAGTTTCAATTCAATCTGTTAAAATGATTTGTTGACATTGAAAAGTCGGCACTCTCGATCTTATGCGCACTCTCATGTGAATTAAACATGGTCAATGTAATGGGAAAATTTAACATTTAAATCGACCTGTTTTGGTAAATGGACATTTTTTCGACGAAGATATGCCTTATTAACGTAAACGTGGTGTCAAAATAACCACAGGACATCCGAACAACTGTCAGAAAAAAACTTGGCGGGATTAAAAAAGTGCATTGCGACGATATAAGGAAAAATAAACATGGAGGGAGATGCGCTCTCAAGTTAATTATTCTGACCCAAAATTACTCTTTAGTCATATTTCCATATTTCACAAGTGCCAAGGCACCAATCAAACCTGGTTTTATTTCTCCTCTACCGTTGTGTCGCAAGGGTATGAGCGAAAAAGAAAAGGTGGAGTAAAGGCCACGCCCCCTGCGCTTTTTGCGCCGCTCTTAAGTTAATTAGTCTGATCTAATCACTCTAATCAAGCTAATGAAACTTGATTTGATCTTGTTCTCGAATTTGATTAAATGTAAATTTACCGCATGCCGCCAATGGGCCTTTGTCTGATCTAGCGAAACCTAAGACCGGGGTGATCAGGGTCGATGATACCATGCTTTAAGACAATCTGGAGAAAATCTGGGGATTTGTTCCCGAAATTTTTACTTTTTGATTAAATCCTATCCAGCTCTCAGTGCATTCTGATCACGTGCTCTCCGCATGTGAGTACCAGATTTAATTCGCAACAAACGAATTAATAATCCGTAATAACGAATTAATAATCCGTAATAACGAATTCAATAATCCGTTATAACGAATTAATAATCCGTAATAACGAATTAATAATCCGTGATAACGAATTAATATTTCTTTATAACGAATTAATAATCCGTAATAACAAATTAATAATCCGTTATAACAAATTAATAATCCGTAATAACGAATTGATAATCCGTAATAACGAAATAATAATTCTTTATAACGAATCAATAATCCGTAATAACGAATCAATAATCCGTAATAACGAATCGATAATCCGTAATAACGAATTAAAATCCGTAATAACGAATTAATAATTCTAACTTCTTGTAAATTACACTGGGCTCCTATTTCCACCCCGTTACCTCAACAGCTTATTTTACAATCTTTTAGCTATTCTAGATGCAATTAAAATGGAATTTTCTGCCCTCTGTGACCAGCTTTACTAGGCTTGCCTATCTTGTCATAGTATCATGGTTGTTTTATTTTTCATTTTTTGGGGGGATTTGCAGTTATAGATGGGGATCAGTGCCCTCGAACAAGTCCAGCGGATCCTAACTGCGATTGCCCAGTATCTTCCCCTTGTAATGTCAACCCGGTTTCAAAGGACTGAAATGCAACGGTAAGGCTGGCCGAGTTGTTTTGCATTGTGCTGGGAATGTAATTAAACAACCAACATCTGAATTTATAAATGCGGTTATGCAACATTTATTGTTGTTTTTCATTTTCAAGAGCGAATACACAGCAAGTCTGCAAATTTATATGACTTTATTCAAGATTTAATAATTGATATAAATGCATCGGAAGGGTTTATTTGAAATGATGAAGGGTATAATAAAAATAAATAAATATATATATCGAATTCGAGTCGCAAATAATGTTGTAACATAAGGGACGTCATTTGAATCAGTAGTTTGCCAATAAAATTCTATATAACGACCGACAGAGCTTACTTTCCCGCCGGTTCTTTCTAGAACCTCACAAACTCACAAAAGAGATTTATTACGTGGTGCAACCTTCAATCTTTAGCACATGTACATGTACATTGTATTTACTCCTCAATAAATCAATAAAACCATACAGATTTGCATGGGGCGGTTTCAGGCGGTACGACGGCTGATCGTATTGCTGTCTTCACCATTCAAACCATATCAGATCTTATAGAATATGAAAGAATATCTGATTGAAATTCTAGACGAACATCGTTGCTCCTCAATGACCCGTGTAGACTCGGTGTCAGACTGATTAAAATAGGACCAAGTATGAAACGTATTTACAATATTAATGTACGATTATCAAAATACAGAGTGCAAGGGCTGTATGAATGGAGGATCTTTCCAAGACATTGAGAACTGCCAATGTGAATGTCCAAGTGGAGGCTTCGATGATCCTATCTGCTCTGGTGAGTATGTGTTCGCTGGCTTTCGTTTCGTTCGTCCTCCAAGCCCTGGGGACTCGTTGGTGATCTCTAATTCCTTTGAACTCTCAATGGAAACACGCTGTATATAGCCAGTGAATTGACAGCAGGGGCGGCGGAACGCTTTTCAAGCGGGGGGGGGGGGGGGGGACACCAAAAAGGGGCACTGGCTCAGAAAAAGGGACACCTTCCGTCGGTGTGAAAGTGGGTGGAAGAAAAGAATATGGTCCCGTTCATTTCGCTGTTGACCTACATATACAGGGTGGATAAAAAAAAAGGAAACCGAGATATTATTGCTAATTGGAACAGAAGTAGGGCACATGTGAAACAAAGGGAGATATCCTCTGTTAGGGTTGAATCTGCTCTTAAAAATGACACCCTGATCATGTCATTACATTTACGGTTGACTGAGCAGTGACCAATTTTATGAAAGGGTCTATTTAGAGAATTGTGCCACTTTTCATGGTTAAATCTCTCCCCCCCCCCCCCTCCACCTGCCTTGATTGGCAACCATAGCCTTTCAATCTGTGACATTATTGACACAACAAAAAGTCACGTGAGAGGTAAATCGAACGCTGCCGCGCTTGCAAGAGTTAGCGTGGGGGAAGTAATCACGAACGCACTGTTGTTTTTCTTTTACCTAGTAAAGAGAAAGCGTTCTTATCGTTCTTATGAAGAGAAAGCGTTCTTATCGCGAAAGGGGCACTATTGCTTATGATGGCCAGTTCAGCGACCATTTTATGCGTGTGAAAAGCACTATCATTTTTTAGGGGCCAGTTTTCCATCTTGTTTTAAATGTTTCGGGCGGGGCACTAATTGTGTTTTCGTGGGGCAATATTCAATCTCGAGAAGTTGTCGCGTGAGGAGCACTATTGTTTTGGATGGCCAATAATTTTCCAATTCGAGAGGGGCTAAATTTTATTATTGCGAAGGGGGGGGGGGGGTATTTGTGCTTTCGCGGGTTTTCCATCTCGAGAAGGTGCACAATCTTGTTAATGCCAGAAGGGCACTTGTGTTATCGAGGGGCAGTTTTGCATTACAAGAGAGAAGACAATTTGATTTGTTGCGCGATCATATGCTTTCATGTGCGTTTGAGGGGCAGTGTCGTCAGTTTTTATCTCGAGGGAGCTCATTATAACCGCGGGAATCTGGGGAAGTGCCACCCCCGCCCCCCCCCCCCCCCCCCCCGGTTCCGCCGCCCTGTTAAAAGCCTTTTTTTCTGAGTGTATTATTAAAAAGATTGTAATTTTTTAATAATAACTATACCGGAGTCTTATATAGCGCAAGTATCTACCAACAATTAGGTACTCATTGGCGATAGTAATTATATCTATTTTTAAAGACAGGTAATTTTTTTAACTGGTCTTTAAGACTTAAACTCATTCAGACAGTCAGGGAACTGTCAAGAGTTGTTTCGTCTCAACAGACGCGGATTAGGCCTATGCATAATTATAGTATTTTGACAATATTTTGATGGATTTGCACTCAACAAGAGTGTTTACACGATACATTTGTATTGTTGCTTTAATATGGTCTCCTTTGAGTCTATCGAGTTGCATTACGAAAGTTTTTATTTTGCTATAATTACATTTTTTTTTTTTTTTTGGCAAAATAAATTAATATTTTTTTCAAGCAGAAAATTTGAGTGTTTACCAGAAATTACATGACTGCTGAAGGGGAACTATTTCGAACAATCAACTGTTACGTCCCAATTCCAACTTTACCCTGAAACTGACGCTGTATTGTTTCATTAATGATCCTCACAGGTTGCGAGGAATGTGTGAATGGCGGCAATCAGAATGAAGTATGTGTCTGCGAGTGTCCAGGTTTATTTGAAGGAGACCTCTGTGATGTAAGGAGAGTTTATTAAAATGCAAAAAAATGGACAAGTTGTACAGCAGTGGCGTAGCTGGGGTTCACACAATAGGGGGAGGAGAGTCGAGGGGGAGGGGCTGGGTGTTAAAGTGGGGGGGGGGGGCGTTAATCGTGCTTTTACTACTTACAAATTTCCAGGAGGAGGCAAACAAGTCGGGGGGGGGGGGGGTAACGATATGTTTATGACCCACGCCTACCCCTTGGCTGCGCCGATGAGTTGTAGCTGCACCAATGATGTTTTTAGAACAAACCAGCAGTTTTTGTTTTGTTTTTAATGTGATTGAAAATGACTTGAAACTATTGTGAAGAGCATCAGAAGCAGTAAGTTTCGGTGTGAACTAGTTTAGGCCCAATGACGGTTTCTTTAAAAGAGTCTGATTTCACATTTGTATAGTTTGAATTGAGGTCTCTCTCTGAGAGTGTGGTTTTCATTTCCTTAACAAAGTTTTCGTTGTCAATGGTGCTTGTTTTTCCTGAGTCATCTTACGTGTGCGCCGCATCATTTTTGTAAATGTGATTTTTTTGCGATTACAGGTTTTGAAAAGGCAAATCTTGATCAGTTTTAAATGAGACTTGTATAGGTTTGCATGGTGGACATGAACAAAGAATGGAAGTTTTTTTTTCGGTAACACCCTGTGAATAATATATTTATATTGACTTTTGTTGCTCTGAGAAGAACCAGTTGTTTAACTCGACGTTTCGAACAGTGTGCTCTGTTCGTCATCAGGAGACTGACCAGCTTTGTTATTACTAAGTGAATTGGTGTTCTGTTTTTTTTTTAGTGTGTCAAGCAAGATGTGAAAACGGTGGAACATTGGACGAGTCTACTTGCACCTGCGAATGCCCGAGTCCGTTCACTGGACGACCTGCTCAGGTAAAATTCATGTGGTATAACCACCCGTGTGTAAACCTACCCGTGTGTTTTACAAAATATTTTCCTCCTCAGGAAATTTCAATTTGTATGTTTTATATCAAAGGAATAAAAACTACTTTTTATAATTTTGGGCGTCTAAAACCACTGAAAGTGGGTTTTCGTTTTGCGTCGTTGTTGATACAGTATAACCCACCAAATCCACCCTCCAGTTCCTCGGCCGGAATTTTATAAAGTAATAATATTAATGACTAAACGTGGATGTGTTGTCTTCGTTCGATGTTTTAATCCAAAGTGAATTTCTTTAATATTGCTAGATAAAAGCTAATGGAAAAAAAAATAATCGATTTTTTGGGTAAAACTCGAAACTACACGGGGGTACATCCTTCGTTTGTGAGTAGTGTTTGTATTGTGAAGCTTTTTGCGTGAATGCTTCGACAATATAATACAATGCAAAATATATTTAGATTTGACCAGAAACAGTCAAACCTGCACCGACTACAGCTGTATGTCAGCTGGGTGTATGATTGATTGACAGCGTTCAAGTAAAATTTAACGAGTGCATTCAGAGTGTACTTAAACATGTTGATGAATGAAGATCGAGCATTTAGAATAGGCCTACACAAATTGTGATGGGTTGGACAAAAGCATATATCCCAGATTATGCACGCATTAATGGTGCATAATTCAATTTCTCGTTCCTAAATGAAATCGTGAGCCATAATTGTAAAGCCTCCATGCACCCTTTCTTCTTCCCCGTGGCCGATTTCAGTTACCTTATAATTAAATCGTGGAATGGCACGCTAAAAAGATTGTGTTGGCTCCATTGGTATTCGCCACCGAAAAGATTGATTTGAGGGCTTGGCAACGGGATGATGCACAAGCTAATGAAGCTATTAAGATGGCAGCCGCTGACCTCGGAATGGTGGTTTGGTATCCTCAAAATGTGATCGAGATTCCTTTGAAAAACAGGCCGCTGGCACTTGGCAGTTGAAGGGTTTTTTTTCAGTTGGCTTCGTAAGCAGTTGTATCTTTATAATCTCTCATCAGGTTGCTTGCCCTGTGTTAATATAAATGAAGGAACGTACCAAAACGCCACGACTTGTGCCTGTGATTGCTTGGAAGGATTCCTACCACCGTTATGTGCAGGTAGAGTATTGTGTTACGCATTTTTGACGCATTTGATTTTAAAGATATCAAATTAGGGTTTGCCTTTCACAGACGTATAAACACTGTATACTCAGTTTGTTATCTTCCGAGTGAAAGTTGGGAACAAATCACTCGGGTGGGACTCGAACCACGACCTCCTGCTTTCTAATGCAGACGTCTTACCACTCGACCACCGAGCTAACGGGATCGGTTGGCTGGTTCGAATGTGATATACATAGCAGCGGGTACTCTGCATTAACTATTCATAAGATGGAATTTGCGTCGGGGTGAAGATCATCTTTAACGAAGGAAAATGGTAGCAATGGTCAACCATTACGTAGATCGGAAGATGTAGGCTACGATGTAGTTCACAATACTTGCTTGCCTTTCCATGAACTACCCCAAAACACTTGTCCAGAACACTGGCATGTCGTTCACAGTTTGTTGTATATGTTGTTGTAGTGCAAGGAGTGAAAAAAAGAAACTTACACTAGAGAGGTGATTTTGGCTAGACGAGGTGCTTACTTCAAAATGTATCACTCCTTCACGTGTATACTTTTTGAGTGTGTACGAATTATATACCTCTTGCATGTGTAATTTTTGTCAAACCTCAAAATGCTGACACTTGCTGAAATGTTTCAGGGATTCCGTTTCCTTGTATTGTAAAGGAGCAGTGTGTGAGTATAATTGATCAATTCCGACCTTCATTCAATGCCTGTTTGAATACAAAGTGAGCATCGTGTGATTTAACTGCATAAAGTCTGTTTCAAAAATAAAACACTTCATATTATGGCAATGAACATCTGGCATGAACGAGAAGTCATGTTGTGGTTTTTTTTTATTAAATGTGATTTATGGTAAGCAAAAGTTTCATTAGGAAACTGCTGAATTTACTAACTTTGTTTTGACCTTGCCAGATTGTATGGAATGTCAGAATGGAGGAGAGTATCAAAACGAGGCAACGTGTGCCTGCGAATGCCCTTTCCTGTATACTGGTCTTCTTTGCACAGGTGCGTATTAATTGTTTTTTCATCTCTACGACTTTACCTCGGTGTAACTAAACTGAAGGCGCTGTTCATTCAAGTTGTTGTCTGCCTTAAAAATTAAGTGCAATAAGAAAGAAAAAAACTTGAAAGTCGAATATCGAGCTTCAAAAAGTATTTCAAAATGATTTTTGTCGTAATAAATTCAATTTAGCCTAGGTTTATAAGAAATAGTATTTACCTGAAATCGGCTTTGTGGGGTGAGACATATCAACTGTAGATGCCCATGGGGATCGATCACGGCTGTGTGAGATGAACACCAACATTTTACCAGTAAAAAAAGTACGTCCACTGAGATACGGTCGTATTTTTCCACAGACGTGTAATCATGGTTTCAAAACCGATGCGTTAATGATTTTAGTACAGAGTGGGACATAAAATATAAATAAACTATATATATGAAATACAAAAACTTTATACTTTGTGTAATTTTCGTAATACAGTTTGTCCCAGCGGTGATCCGTGCGAGAATGGGGGCACAATGGACAGGGCTGCCTGCCTTTGTAAATGCACCGATGAGTGGACGGGAATAAACTGCGGAGGTATGAACTTGGAACCAGATGGTCAAAACTCCCAAAAGGAATGGCTGGTCAATGCATGTATTTTCATTTGGAACATAAATGTTACTTTGTGATGTAAAAGGTAGTCATTCCTTCACTACGTTAAACTGTATAAGCCGTGTAACTTTGTGGTTATACAACCCTTGTTGCAGCATATATATATGATCGTTTGCATTTATCCCCAATGTGATAAGCCTATTAGATCAAATTATTATCAGAAATCTTGCTTGGAATAAAGATTGTACGGGTTCTAAACACCCCGTGAAATTATTCCATCTAGCTTGCTGTCAATTACAAGAAATCAAGGTGATTTCAAAAGATCGGTCAATTGACTATATTTTAGAAATAAATAGTGCTATTAACGAAGTTTACTTTTGTGGTCAAAAGGTTGAGCATTTTTTTTTTTTGAAATGTTCCCTCGAAGTGTGCAATATCCACTGAGCTGAAAATTCGATAAGGTTCAGAACATTCTTCTCAATTTGGATTTGATTTAGAGTTGGTGTTATTGATGAAAACGAACAAAAATTGGCACATTAAGCAAATGATCCTATATGCCTTTAAATCACTTCCTGTGCAAATCTCCCCCCCCCCAAAAAAGATATTGATTATTATAAGAGAAGCCAAAATAGCTTTCTCATATCAAGCTTTTTGTTGACATCTGAAGACGGACCATACCAAGGTCATGCGCAATTCAGCTCAGCGAATAGGCCTACTACCGACGAAGTTTGCGCTGTAACATGTCACGTTATTTGAAGGCGTAGCAGTTTCCCTCCAATTACTCGAACTAAGATTGATGTACAAGGGGAGTAAAAAAAAGCGAAACTCAAATGTCCGGATAATTGGTTTAGTGAAGTTTTGCATACTTTCAAGGATATGAAATCCCAATTCATAAGCTTTCTTTTAGTACAAGAATCATTCAAGTCGATCATGTACTTTTCAAGTTACGCAATTTTAAACACAACCACCGTTTTGTCGACGGATCACAAGAAAAGGTGTGCGTTCTTTCAGCAAAACGAAAACAATTCACACACTCCCTGTGTGGTTTGTTTCGTTTTGCTAAAAGAACACTTGCCATTAAAAGAACACTTACCATTGTGATCTGTAGACAGAACTTTAATAGGGTGGTTGTGTTGAAAATTCCATAACTTGAAAATTACATGAGCGATTTGAATTATTCTTGTACTAAAAGAGAAAGCTTATGAATTGGGATTTTATATCTCATATTTTGAAAGTGTTCCACATGCAAAACTTCACTAAAACAATGGTCCCAACATTTTGATTTGGTTTCTTTTCATTCACCCTGTAGACTACATTAATAGAAGTTGTGCCTGCTAACCTTTTTCGTTGCTAACTTCTCTGTTCTCCGTTCTGTCTTCTTTTCAGAGCCTGTTCCCACTCTACCCGACGACGAATACCCAGATCCCCCAGCAGATGCTGGTAAGTCTAGGGAAGGGGTGTAGCTATCGTCCCCTAATCAGCACTGGCAATAAAGATTATAGCTAGATAACGATATAGATAATATATAAATTTTAGTAATGTTAAGCCTAAAATTGAGGCCTTTATCTCTTTTTTGCCCGATCATTAAAGTTATATTCAAGATATGAAAATATCTCTTGGTAACCGTAAAGACTTGTCTTGTAGCCCTTTTAAACAACGCGATTTGTGAACTACAATCCTATTTGGCCGATCTGATAGACTATTTTTGAGATAACCTATATTTGTTCTTCGCAGATATTGAGAAGAAGGTATCGATCGAGATAGAAGTCACTGATAATAAAAACTGTCAACCCGCCGTGAATAAATCGTCAATGGATTGTGTAGTACTTCAGAAAGAATTCGTAGCCGGGGTAAGTGCCCCCTTTATTTAAAGATGTTCGGCATGTAGCCCTTTCTAGATCTGAGATGAAGAAAACCCAATTAATAAGCTTTCCTTTAGTGAAAGAATCATTCAAATCGCTTATGCACTTTTCCATTTATGGAATTTTGAAAACAAACACCGTTTTTTTAATCTCGTCCACGGATCACATTTAAGGCACATGATATTTCCGTATTACATGAATCCGTATCCATAAATGTCGTATCCTGAAAATGATATCAGAATAATCCCACAGTCTCCGGGGTAGCCAAGTAGAAGGCAGGGCAAAACTATAAACTCTTGAAATTATAAAGCAAGTTACTTTAACATTGGAGGCAGCAGGTTGTTAAATAAAGGTTATGATAAGTGCCAGTTATCATGGTAATGAGAGTGCTTTGACGTGTTTGTTTGATATGTGAATAGTTTTCGTTCTGCTGAACTATCATTAACCTTTATTGTGATCCGTGGACAAGCTTAAAAACGATGTTTGTATTTATCATTTCGTTACTGGAAAAATGCATGAGAATTTGAATGATTCCTTCACAAAAGGAAAGCTCTCCTGTGTAGGAGGGCAAAGTGTGTGCATTTTGTAAACCTAACATGTCATAATAGTATAGTGTCGCATTTTCAAATGGCTTCTGACTAGCGCCCATGACGTTAACAAAATGGGGAACTTAGAGTTGGACAGCTCAGTTGGTAAAGCGCTGGGAAATCAGGAGGTCGCAGGTTCAAACCCCGCTTAAGTCAATTTCTTTGTTCAACTTTAGAATTTTTTTTCATTCAAACTGTTTAAGATGTCATCAATATTGATACCCATTATAGTTTTCGAGCTTTCACTTTTGTATTCCAGGTCGAAATTGAGTACAAACGTGTGGCAGGCTTTAAGAAGGTCGAGGTTACAGATCTGAGGTCAGTTTTACACTCCTATAAACTATTGTGTGTGTGTGACAGATTTGAGACTTCATAAATTGAGACTTTCTTGAGATTCCATTTAAAAATGTTACGAACGCCTCATTTGAAGAATACATTTTTTAACTAGATTGGGAAACTCTAAAAAGATATCTTTATCACCCAGTTATGTTTGTCAGAAGTACTCGTGGGCGAGTAAGAAAAACCAGATGACATTGGTTATAAGCCTGTGTTGCAGGAAGAAAATATAAGTTACACAATTTCAACCAATCAAATCCCAATTTCATAAACAATTTCGTTTCGATTTGTTTTTCTCAACAGAAATGGAAGTGTCATCTTTCAGCACCAAGCAATCTACGACTATGCAAAAATGTCGCCCTCTCAGCGTGGGATATCAGCTTTGGATCTGTATCGTGCGACTGTTGCGCAGGCTGTGGAGGCAGGGCAACTGGGAGGTCTCCCTGTAGCGCCGGAGTGCAGTACATGCCAAGCACCTCAAGGTCAGAGAATACATCGGGACCACTTACCAAATATATGTCTAAAAAGTCCAAAATGCCATAAAATAAAATAAGAGAGCCAAGCACAGACCGGCTGTCAGTCGGCTAGTTAAGAAATTGTTATCTTTATAAAATTTAAAAACAAAATCTGCTCGGTATAATCGTTCGGTTCTCGAAGGAGAAAGCTGGTTCCCGCCTCACTATTAACTTTGGTAATGTAGGGATGGAGAACCAGTCAATAGCGGTTCGTTAGTGTGACGTCAGTTCAGTTTAAACCACGCCCACTGGCCATTCAGTAGCATTGCAACCATTGGAACCGGAAGCTGACGCAACTTTAGTGTTTATCCAATGGGCGCTAGTAATCAGTGGTGCGCGCGCGTTTATGACGTTTTTACTAAAACCGGATAGTGGCGGATTGGGGGGGGGGGGTTGCAACCTCGCCGTTCCGGCGCTGAATAACGATATAATGCTAGTAAAATGGGGCCAAAACTAATAAATGGAATGCTAAAGTTCCTAAATTATTATCAGATTACTTCAGAATGCAGCAGAAAGCATCGCAGCATCGCCTAAGGTGCGTGCCTTCGCCACGTCTTCAGGCTCAACCACCGTTCATACCCCTTGTTTCATGAAAACTATATAGATCCGCCCCTGAATGTAGAAAAACAAAACATGCAAGTTGAATTTCCGTAAGGAGAATAAAAACTAATTCGTTGAGGAGTACGGACAGAATAAGTACATCTTTAAAGTCTTCTGTTTTGCAAAAAAAAAAAAAAAAAAAAAAAAATTCACCAAACAACGTTTAATTTAATAAATGTTTTCCCAGATGAAACCAACATGTGTGAAACGGAGCAACCAACATGTGGAACGGGATTAGTAATAGATGAAGTGACAGAGGGCAACTCCTGCTATTTTGTTTGCCGAGCAAGTTGCAAAGTCGAAGCAGATTACTGCAACAGCGGCACGTGCACTCAAGATTCTGATGGAGTCAAGTCGTGCAGGTACAGTAACATAAAACGAAAAATAGGGATTTTTTTTTTACTAATATTCTAATTTATGCACGCATGTGCATGGTGCATATTTGAGGAAGAAGTGAATGGCAGCTTGGCTCCGCCTTGGCATTGGTAATGGACAGCACGGACGTTTTGTTGTATAGCTATTGGCGTGTTTGCTGTTTATGGAAACCTGCAAAATCAACAAAGTGCGCGACAGGTGCCAAGCCTCTAGTGTGCATGTGGCCTGTAAATCACGCCTAGTGAGATATAGGTCATAGGCCTACTCCAGATGCGAATTTTCTTTTCCCAAACTGTTCCATTATTTCCATTATTTTATGGTTGTTGAGCGCCCTCTACGATACTTTTATGATACGTACGGAGGTATTATATAATTTTTCCCCAGGATTTGTCGATCAGTGCATCAGTGTGATAGCTCAGTTGGTAGGGTCATTGTTTTGTACTGCGAGGAATCCTCGCGGTATGGGTTCGGGTCACCGCTTTGAACCCGATTTTTTTTCTTGTCTAATCGGAGGCTTTGGAGGGTTTAATATAAAGGAGTAAACAACTCCTTATATGGAGATTGGCGCGCGCGTCGCAAGTAATGGGTGGTGTCGCGCAGAACGCAGCTGTGCCGGTATAGTGTGAATTTAGGACTATGAAATACTGACTCACTGGTAGTATTGTGCATGATTCCGTGTGCCTTGTGAACGTTCAACCAATAAATGACAACAAAAAGGCACCGGATTTCATGGGAGTCCACATTTCATGTGACACTGGAAAGTGTTTAAGACCAGCCAGCCGGTCTTGATCAACAGTTTAAAACCGGCCACGTGACGTGCTGGGTAATGGAAATAGTTAAACTGTCTTATGAATTTAACAAAAATCTCACAAGTAAAGTGACATATTTGTTTCCTGAACTGAGAAGTGAACCAGTGAAGTGAAGTCAGTTTTGACGGCTAGTATAGTTTTACACAATCAATGTAGTCTAGAAACAGCTGCAACACTGTGATGTTTTATAAGTTTTGATATGTGTGCAACTTTGTCATTATTTTCAAATGGATATGTCGCTTAGGAAATAAACTCTTCGCATGAAATAACGGCTACTTCTAAGGTTTTTTTTTTTCATTTTGTAGCTGCCCTCAGAGCACGGAGTTTATGTACATCGGTGCCAACTGCCAACTAGCAGTGAACCTGTTATGGCTGTACATCGGTTGTGGGCTTGGAGGGGGCCTGCTGCTCTTACTTTTGTTCACTCTTATCTGCTGTGTGGTGCAGTATAGAAAGAAGGTCAAACAATTTGAGTCAGAGGACGAGGAGGGAACTCAAGAAGAGTGAGTTTTCCTTAAGGACGTAAAACAATTCAACCTGTTTTTGTCGATTTTCTGTTGTCAGAGCTTTAATTCTCTCATTTTTAGCATCATGTCGCGTCACTGGCATTCCATGTTAGCCAAGGCGCGCAGAAGGGGACCTTTTAGAAATAGTGTGTACCTAACTATATTTACAGACATTTTTTCAATTTCTATAACCAAGAAATGTAAAAAAAAAAATAATAAAAATAAAAATAACGAAAGAATTCATGATATTCATCACATTCATCTACAGCAGTTTTTAGAACTTATATTTGTAAAGACCCATGTTTATTAAACATTGTGTTGGTGTCTGTAGTATCGTCGTTTTTAGCGTTCGTTGTCCCTTTTCCATGATTAAGACCATGAATGTGTAAGGCAAATGATTGTTTTTGTTAACCGACAAAACTAAATGAGTCACAATCACCAGAGCTATACGTTTGAGTAAGAGGTCTCTTTTAAAAGAATCTTACACGATGGAAATCCGAATCAGTCAACCGTACATTTGGATGTCGCACTGGGTCACATCGCAACATGAAGGGCAATATATACTTACTATGAAAAAAATAATAACCGAAGAATTGCCTTAAACTTAAAGACCTATTTCGTGGGTTCCGGGGGGATTGAGATCATGAATGTGTATCCTCCCGTAAATTGTATCCTTTGGACCAACCAGTAGACATCAGCTTTGAGAAAAGAAACTGTTTCTCTCTTTTTGACTTGTTTTGATTTCGGTGTTTTTTTTCCAGCGATATGAGAGGGGAGGTCCGCGCAGTGCACCATAACAACAAAGGCTACGTCGGGGATTCTTCCTCGGTCGCTGATGAGCATCCGGAAGGCGAGACGCAAGCTCCGGAACAAGTTCGTCCGTACTCCTACATCTACCGGAACGGTAGCGGCGTGGGCGTGTCCCGCTCCAGCTCCGGGGCAGCCGCCGTAAAGAACAGGTACCATATAGCCACATAGGACCATTTGCAATAAACCGGGGAAAAAGCGAAACCCAAATGTCCGGACTATTGTTTTAGTGAAGTTCTGCATGTAACACTTTCAAAATCTAGGGTATGAAAGCCCAATTCATAAGCTTTCTCTTAGTACAAGAATAATTCAAATCACTCATGTACTTTTTAAGTTACGGAATTTGAAACGTAACCACCGTTTTAAAGTTTTGTCCGCGGATAACAAAAACAGTGTGCGTTCTTTCAGCAAAACGAAAACAATTCACACACAGCATATGTGACTTGTTTTCGGTTCGCTGAAAGAACACTTACCATTTTGTGATCCATGTACAGAACTTTAAAACTGTGATTGTGTTTAAAATTCAGTAACTTGAAAAGTACATGAGTGATTTGAATGATTCTTGTACCAACGATTCTTTGTACACTTTCAATCGATTGTTTTCTAAAGGTACGAACCCACGGTTGCCAGGGACCGTGAGCAGGGTACGAGCAGTGATCAGGCCGAGGAGTCTGGGGGCAAGACAAGAGGGTCGTACTTCTGGGGGAACCTGAATGAGCCAGTGAAAGAAGAAAACGAGATGATACCTATGACTAGCGAGATTGACCCCACGAAAATGGTGAGTCACGACCCATGATATCCTTGGCGAGTCTTGACCCATGATTTATCCTTGACTAGCGAGATTGACCCCACGAAAATGGTGCGTCATGACCTATGATACCCATTACTAGCGAGATTGACCCCACAAAAATGGTCAGTCACGACCCATGATATCCTTGACTAGCGAAATTGACCCCACGAAAATGGCGAGTCTTGACCCATGATATATCCTTGACTAGCGAGATTGACCCCACAAAATGGCGAGTCTTGACCCATGATATCCTTGACTAGCGAGATTGACCACACGAAAATGGTCAGTCATGACCCATGATACACATGGCTAGCTAGATCGACCCGACGAAAATGGTGAGTCATGACCATAACTTTGGTCCACTTGTCTAAGACAAGGCTTTTTAAATAAATGTTCTTGGTATTATAATTTATGTTATTCCTAAAACGAATAATGGAAGTGCCACACTGCCTTGATTCTAGCCACAGAATTGGCGCTAAAATATTTAATTTCATTATGCTTATTTCAGCAGTACAAGATACAGCGTCCTCAAGTGTCGGTCAACAGAAATGATGATCTGCCGGTAAGTTTTTACCTGTTAAATCGATCTTGCTATATGTTATTCAAATTTTATAATTCCGATGAATGGACTTTTGGGCGGCCAGACAAAAAAATACTAGTCAATTGCACAAACAACCTAAACATGTTGCCGCCATAAATTAAAAACGCATTAGCAGTGTCAGCCTGTATTAAAGATCAAAGATTTATAGGCCTGAATCAAACGACCTTTGAATCCTATTTCTTAATTTCGTTATTTTATTTTCAGGAACGGGACTACTTTTAAAGAATCGTCTTCCAAACGTGATCAAGATACTGCCTTTGCATCTGGCTTGACAGGCGTGAGATGCATACTTTAATATGAAATGTTACTCAGAAAAATAAGAATTTGAGTGTTTTAATCTGTAGTAGTCACCTTCAGTAGTTGGACCAAAAACAAAACAATTTTTGTTTTCAAAGAACAAATTAATAGAATCTATTAACTCCATTTCCAGATTGTATGTATACTTCAACGGAGAAACGTATATAATAATTGAATTATATTCATTTGTTGGACACATCTGCATGTACCTTTCTTCCCCCATCTGGTTTTTGTATTTGTCGTTTATGTTATCGTGGTATGGGATCTATTGCTTTTATACAGCAAGCAACACATTTTAGTGAACATGTGTACATAGAAAAAAGCTACAGTGTCCATAAGTTTTAATACAGTGTATGGGCAAGGGCAGATCGGGGGGGGGGGGGACGGGGGCCATGACAAAAAAAGGCAAAATAAAGGCAGGCACTGCGTTAACAAAAAATGGCTACATTGGTCAGAAATTGCCTCAGATCGCACCACAGAGCGTCTAAAACAATTCAGCGGGCCCCGAACCCCGCGCCGTAATTCTTTGGACACGCCCAAAATTTGTTATGTCCCCCCCCCAAACAAATACAAATGTGTACTGGATCCGCCCTTGTGTATTGTGTATGGGGTTTGTTTTTGTCGCCATAACGAACTCTTCCATTTTTGTTATCACCCGTACTTGTTTTGGCCAAAAAAGGTATTCGCATGCAGCCGGAACATTTCATGGATTTTTCCTACTGGACATTAACAAAAACATCAGTCTTTTTTTTTTTTGGGGGGGGGGGGGAGGAATCGCTTGTTTGGTATACTGTTTTCACGTGACGGTGTGCCTTTGAGAAGGACGCAGGACAGCCTTCCGTGATCGACAATTATTATGTGTCTCATATTTAGATTCCTCCCTGTATACTCAATATGATTGTGGCTGCTAACGTCCCAAATATTTATTCAACACAAACTCTTTTGATGCATTCCTTTTGAAATACCTTTTGAATGACACAGTTACTTTTACAATTATGTACTGCAGTCCATAAGGGTAGGCGGTACATTTGGTATCTTAACTTGAAGGTTTTTCGTTGAGATCTGATCGATTTTTATTTGTTTAAAGTTAACCATAAACACAATTTATAACAATTAAACTCCACTTTGCCTCGTCTGTGTACAGAATACATAAACACTTCTCACATAATTTCAAGAGTTTTCCCCAGTCATGCATACTTTTTTATCGTTAAATTGTGTTAATCAGATGTCTTTCTGTGATAAGAAGCTATCGCTTTAAACAGACCCGAAAAGCCATCGTACTTTTTGGTTCCCTCTTCTAGGTTTGCACAGGGGCGTTATAAAATGTCTGACCTGATTTTGTCAAGTGTTTATTTGGTGCAAAACTGTGCCTTTTAAACTGTTGGTGTCGCGTCCCAGAAAGGACTCCGTTCTCGTAACGTGAGGTATACGAGGAGCTGCAAGCTCTTGTCTCGAAAACAAGGCTACAAATTCAGTTTAGTGGGCATTCGAACAAACATCAGAACAATTCAAATGTAAAGTTCCAGAGGCTTTTGAAGCGACAGTTTTGAGCTAGTGTTAATATTTTCTTGAGAGATATCGCGCACGGTGATAGTATTGGACTTTTGAAGTATTTTTAAAAACACTTTGTCATTGTACTTAAATAATAGTAATGTTTTGAACTTAAGTTAGATTTGCATGTATATTTCGCTCATAGTTGAGGTTTTTTGACAAGAACAAATGTTCTGTTTACACATTCTCAGAATGTTCACCTAAATACTGACTTTTATAATACCGATATTCCCTTTGTACTAGCATATCTGTAGAAATGTTTATACGGATTTTTGCCTTAAAATTGATTCAACCGTGCATGTAAAGCAACATAATCAAATATTTTCGAGCACTGAGTTTATCTACATCGCTGTTAAGTGAGTATTGGACCATTCTGATAAGTTGTCTTCCCAATTAAATAATTTAAAATCAAAGATGTATAAAAACCAACTTTTTAAGCCGAGGCCAAACGTTTAAATGGTCCATGCAATGTAATTGTTTTAATGCAGTCCTTACAAAATGTCCTTTGTGTCCCATTTAACATTATTGAAATTTTTGGTCTGTCATTTTGGTCGTTATGCTAATGCGAATTTCCATATTCATGAACAAAAGTGTGCTGTCATACTAAGCAGAATCCTCAATGTTACAGCTATTTCAGCACCAAAAATTGCCCAAATTTTGGATATTGTGCTGTCGTAACATTTCTGTACATGGCAGTAAGCCAGTGAGCAAACTTTTGTCACAGATGTTTTCATTGAGCATTTTTTTGGGGTTCACAATTTGAACAGAAATCCATAAACTGAACAGTGTCTTCCTGAATTGACATCACAGGAATAGCGCCCTCAGTTGTCCAAAAAATGAAAAATTTTACATATTTAGAGAAGTGTACTTTTCAATAAAATTAACCAAAGGGAAGTCAAATGCTTTCATACATTTAAGACGAGTAGAAAGCTGCACAAATATATTATTAAATAAAATATTTTCCTCAGAAAAAAATCATTTCAACCTTTAAGTGATCATGTACACATGTATTGTGAGAAACTGGAATAAAAATCGGCTGATTGTAAATATGCATGTGTGCCACCAAAAAAACTAACCTAAACCCCAATAATTTCAGAGTGTCTGTGTGTGTGTGTGTTCTAATGACAATTCTAGTGAAATTGTTCGTTAGGAAGAACTATCGATAGATTTCACTAAAGGACTCTCCACTCTTAACAGCGGCAAATTTTTTTCCCTTATTTTTTAATCAATCTTTTTTTAAGAAAATTAAAGTCAACATAATCCAGTATTAACCGCAATATATCGTGTCATAACGAACAGTGAGCCGACTATGGTAAACAGTACTTTCAGTTGATTTCAATATAATGTGAATTATCCACAGAGTTTTCCGAATCCTAAAGCTGACAAACTCAGTTTTAGTGCTCCCGACTTTAGCACCCAGTTTTAGCAACACGAAAGTTATTGATTTTTGAATTTGACATTGAACGAAAACATTCGGCCGTGTTAAATTATCTGACAAATTTCAAATCTTACCAAAACAAAAAAAAAGAGAAGAAAAGTCGTCAGAAGAAAGAAATCGAGGTTGCCAGAGTGAGCAGGGAAGGCGACCGTGGCTTTTGGTACCAGCAACCGCTAAGTGCAACGGTACATGTACTGTCCTACTTATTTTGTACCAACACCAGTAGCTCAAGTGCAAGCCAACCATTTAAAAACAGAAAATGAGTAGTCATTTAAACACGTTTTTAGGTGTTACCTTATCGACCGAGGTATGCTATTAAATTCCCATTTCAAAGACAAATGACCAAGGTTATCGCACCTCAGCCGGGATCCCACTTGGTTGCTAGAGGACTTTGAAAACTAATCGGGGCGAGCTGCGATAATGCAGGTCTATTATGTCCCGATCCTATTGTAACGTTGCAACCAAATTCCTCAACAAAAACGAACGGTATAAGGTGTTGCTTCTTTCGACACTTCACTTTGTAAAGACATTAATCATTTTCCAGCCGTCATGTATTTCAGTTCTAAGTGACAGGTTGTACAGATAAAAAAAGAAAGAATTATATCACATCAGTTAGCGTGAAGTAATTTCAGTCTCAATCGTGTCCACTCCTTAGCTTTTTTTTCCAGTGAATTGCGTATTTACTCTGAAGTACATAATCTCATTAATCGTAATTAAGATTTCGTTTTGGACGGATGGCTCGATTCCAAACAAAATGTAAACACGATAAATCACAAAGTTTTATCTAAAATAACCTACTATATCTTTTTGTCTTGACAGCTGAATAATACTGAGTGCACGGCAATTAAGCAACTATAAAACGCCTATTTTGGCTTTTATCATAAGTTTTAAAGAGTTGGAAATTGCTAACTTGATAAGTACAAACGTGAACAGTTCCTCCAATAAAATAGAAATAACACTTTTTTTCGCTGCATGCTAGAACCAAACCCCAACCACAATCAACTCAGAAAACACAACGAACATTTTCAGTCCATACATTTGCAAAGGTAGACGGAAAAAGGAGGGGCAACTTCGGATGATCTATCTTCCATAACTCAGAAATATGGAGTGAAGTCAGGAGCCAATTTGGCTCATCAGGCCGACGTTTATCGCCGGCTTGTTTGGCATGAAACGATTAAGAATATGCCTATTTCTGTCCTTCCTGGATGGGATGCCACTCCATTGCAGGTTTCTCCCCAGCTTGCTCTGGTACCCATTTTACTCCTGAGTGGAGAGAGGTAAGTGGGGATGAAATAGCTTGCCTCTTGGACACAATACAGTCGAATCTCGTTAGTACAAACTCTGTTAATACAAAATTCTGATATAACAAACACAAAGCCTTGGTCCCGACTGTGCATTTATGTGCACAATGAATGGGACTGATGTTCCTCTTAATTCAAATTCTGATAACAAACAATTTGGCTGGGTCCGAACGAGTTTGTATTAATGAGACTCGACTGTATATGGCCGGCAGCAAGATGAGAACCACCTAACCTTATGATCATGAGTCACTAACCACTAACCACTTACAAAAATGTTCACCAAAATTTACTAATATATATATTGAATTCACACTTTACATTTCGTTTACTGCTACAGTTGTTAAATCGTCAGTATATTGGAGCAGGCATTTTGTGTATTAAATCAGGTCATAACGTGCACAAAAAAAGACTTCAATAAAGTGCAGTCTGCCAGGTGCACCATACCATTAAAATACCGACACCCTTTTTAATCACTTAACAAGATAGCCACGTACTTCTCCCCTCGAAAAATAAACTGTTCATTTGATCAACTGATGTAGAAGTGCTATTTGATTTTGTCCTTATTACCCAATGAAAAAGAATTCTTTTCTTGTCACGACATTTTTTTTATCAGTCTTTACAAGTTAAACATTGATGGAACCTCTGATTCTGATACAGCCCAATCGAAACAAGCTCGACACTCGTTTAAGTTTCCTTTGGGCTGGATTCTGCTCTGGGTATATACACTTGTTACGCGATGTGGGCGTGTTTCTGTATAGATATACAAACAATGACAGGTTGTGGAGTCGGCAGAAGACCCCTATATCAAGGGAATCGGGAGACAGGAACTGCCAATGCGGTGGCTGGTTCCGCAGGATCCAACTTCTTGCTCTGTGCTCCCACCGCAATGAATGTGTCTGGCATTCTGTTAATATAAATTCGAAGTCGAGCTGCACTGTTATTCTCAATAATACCTGCTGTCTTTAAAATTCAGACAATCGAGCACTTCTTCGAAAGAAGAAACAGCATTGCCTTTTGTTTTATTCACGAACTGGATTAATCATTTGGAAGGATACAACTTTGCTACTTCTTGAGCAGTCTTAACAAGGCATGAAGGTCATGGCTATCTCTGGATGGAAGGTCTTCACGCTCCTGGCTTGTATCTCAGCCACGATGTGTGTGGTTCAAGCACAAGGTAAGTCAATATTCCCGGCCATTGTAGGCCTATTCGATACGATAACGAATAGATATGATAATGGTATATGATATTATAATATGATACCCAATGTAATTTCGATATACTATGCACTTCAAGGAAGCGTCTTTTGGGGATGCAGGGGTTGTTCTTCGGAACCGATTCTATCCTTGAGGCAGTTTTTTTAGGCAACTCATAAAGGGCCCATGCAATATACTTGTAAATGCAGTCCTTGCAAATGCACCTTTGTGTCCCATTTAACCTGATTTTCAATTTGCGTTTTGCCATTTCCAAAGGTATTTTGGTGCATTTTTAGTTTTATGCTAATGCGAATGTCCATATTCACGAGCAAAAGTGCGATGTCATTGCATGCACAAACCTCAATGTTACAGCTATTCCAGCACAAAAAGTTACCACAACTTTGGGTATATTGTTGTTGTAAATTTTCTTTTCTTTGATGATTCCTTGTTGTGTCAGTACATGGCAGTAAGCCAAGGAGCAACCTTTTCTCACAAAAGTTTTTAATGAGCAAATGTTTGAATTCACATGTGAATAGAAAACCCCTTTACTGAAGAGTTTCTTTCTCAAATGACACCACAGCAACACTATCGCCCTCAGTTGTCCGGAAAAGCATGGACAATGTTGTGAAATGTTTTAAGAAGTTCACTTCTGATAAAGTTAACCAAACAGGGATGTCAAGTAGTTTTCACACAGGAGTAGAAACAAAATGTGTTTAGTGAGAAAAATTCATTTCCTTGTCACTTTAAGGTAATTGGAAATGGGTTGCACTATGACGCATACTTCCGTATCATCCTTCAGATCGTCTCTTTTTAATCAGAAAAAACTGCATACACAATGTGCTCAGCCAAAAAATACAAGATAAAGTGTTAAATAAGTGTTAATAATTATATAAAGGTATCGCGTGGCTTTTTTGGACAGGGACCTGTTTTGGGTTAGCATAATCATACATTATATTCAAGGATTGGAAAACCTTTCTGCTATAAAGCAGCTATTTGACTACGGACCCTGGTTTGACGGTGAATTTTTTTAGAAAGTGCCCGACTGCTGGATGACATCAATGTAACAGCGTGAATATTTTTGGAAAGTTTATACCAAAACAACTTTCTTAAAAATGTGATTATGTATAAACTGTGCATAGCCGCTTATAAAACCTTCTTTCCGGCGATTTAAGGCAAAAAAAGTCTCAGGTTTCTGGTATGCGCGCGCGTCGCCGTAGTCATGCGCGTCGACAAAATGAAAAAGTTTTTTTTTTCAATGAAAGATGATGTCTCAAAACCGCCAAACTCACTGGTTTGACTGGAATCCTGCTGCTGCACAATTTTAACGTGTTTTTAGAAGGGGTTACGATCGAGAATAAGCTTTATGTGGACTCCCATATATTTGCACTAAGTTTAGTCGGGCTCCATTTGCAGTCATCAGCCGACATTTAAAGCCAAAAAAAACAGGTAAAAAAAAAAGCCACGTCGCCCACCACTTTTTGGGCAAGCTCCATACCAGAAACCAAAGACTTTTTGGGGGCCTTAAGTAATATTTACAAAATCAAATTATAATATTGAATGCAGACCTCTCTATATCACTCTATTTTTTCATTTGACATTTTTTGTTTGTTAAAGTCATTACAACAAGAATTAATGTAGTTATGGTCAAGCAAAGGTTAAGGAAAGGGCTTACTTTGACACATCGCTTGCAGGAAATTCAATTGAAGAAAAATATCCGGCAAGATGTTTGCGCTTTCAAATGTCAAACACATGCAGGCAGGGATCACATTAACTCGGAATACTGAAACAAAAGGCGGACTGAACAAGCTGTCCATGAGGATGTTTTAATAGACCTTCATAGATTCGAGTTATTCTGGGGTGCAAAAAATAGTCACGAGCGGAGAGGTTGGGCTTTCTTCTTCTTTCTTCAATAAGCAGGAGGGGTGTCGTAATTGACCAAGATTCAAGGCAAGCTAGGCCTATCGGGAACAGTGGTTTCAATTTGCTGCTTGAGGATAGGCACATGTACAAACGGGTTCACAAACAATCAGAATGAGTAAATTCGGCCTTAATGCCGGTGTCATACGAAAATCGGACTCGTATGAAAATCAGACTCTTTTTCCCTTTTATTGGTTAAATTCTCTCACGTGACCGGTCCCTCTCCTAATTCTGTATGCATGAGCATGCGCAATACCACCAATAAGTCCGTATTTCATAAAACCTAAATTCATGCTACACCGGCCGTAACATCGGTTCACGGAATATGGAATTATCGGGAGGCGGTGGTCCCTTAATGCACCATCTCTTCCACATACGCTCAACCAAAAACAGAAAGCCCCCCCCCCCCTTCCAATATTTTTTGTCTACCACCCAAAGACTGGTTAGCACCTCTCGCTCAAATAACGACATATCAGTAGTACAGAAGTCAGTGCAGCAATCCAGCCATACTCTTTATTTGGCCCAAAACAGTGATAATGTGTACGAGTTTATGCAATTTATGACAAATGATACCGAAAGCAGTTGCTGTATACGTGTAAGTTGTGGTCACTCACCTTGCACGCATACAAAAGTGCAACTTTTTCGGTTCCATTTGTCATAAATTACATAATTCTGTACACATTATCACTACAGGGTGAGTAAGAAAAAAAACGAAACCCAAATGTCGGGACCTTTGTTTTAGCGAAGTTCTGCATGTACATGTAGCACTTTCAAAATCTAGGATATGAAGGCCCAAATCATAGACTTTCTTTCAGTACAAGAATCATTCAAATCACTCATGTACTTTTCAAGTTACGAAATTTTAAACACATCCATCGTTGTAAAGGTCTGTCCACGGATCACAAAAAGATAAGTGTTCTTTCAGCAAAACGAAAACAAATCACAAAGGGCTAGGGATGTGTGTGAATTGTTTTCGTTTTGCTGAAAGATCAGAACGGTGGTTGTTTCCAAGTCATTGATTCGTGTTTTACACAAAGCTGCGATAAACTGGGGAACTTTTGCGTATATCGATATTAATTTTCAATAACCCATTTGTTACATCACGGTGAATACTACAGGTTCAGCGAACTACATTACCAGAACAGCAACATGAACTACTTTTCTCATGTTTAATCCTCAACAAACTGCGCGTAGGCTTGACCGTTAAACTTAAATAGCGCCCGCAATCAACTAACAGTAATCGTACAACTGATCGTCATTGCGCACCGTACAATTATGTAATCATATTCAATTCTGTCCAATTACAACCATCTTATTCTGTCTGCTTATTTGAATACATGTAATTTAAAAAGAGCTGTTTCGGCGAACTCCTTCACCGAAACGGCTAATTATGCGTGAACTACTTTTCGTACGTTGAACTCCAAACCAAACCTGCGTAGGCTTGACCGTTAAACTTAAATAGTGCCCTCAATTGACTAAGAGTAACGTCCTTTGAAAAACGAGATGGGTTTGTGGCATCTTGACAGAGCAAATATTTTAACCGATTTTTTTTTCAGGAAGTAAAATTCCAGCAGGTTCCAAATGCATGTTTTCAACTTTCTAAATCATGAGTTTATCAACTCCCTAGATGCAATCGTTTTACACAAAGCTGCAATAAACGGAGGAAATTTTATTTCAGGAATGATAAAAGTACATCATATCCGGGTCACACAAATTCAGTCATTGTAAGCTTGAGGAAGATATCAACCGACCACATCCCTGCCCAGTTTATGAACTGTAGGTTGTCCGATAATTTAGAAGGGGCTTGAAAAAGTGTACTTGCTGGGGAATTTCTGTTCAAGTTCGCTTCCCATGCAACCGACCCGAATACCGTCCAAATTCAGGTAAATCGGGTAAAGCGGGACAAAGCGGACAGGTTGAACTGGCCGGTTGAAAGTCGAATTCATATCTGGCAGCCAATAAATCGGGGGTGGGGGGGGGGTTGGAAGAAATAATTCAGTTTCTAAACGTCGTTGGATTCTAGGAAAAAAACAATTGGACAATCAATTTTCGAAATGAAACTCGAAAATGGCATGGGGACGCATGCATCTTTAACAAATGAACCTGTGATATTTTCGGCTTTTGCCCAACACCCCCCCCCCCCCATCAACAACAAAACATTTTAATGTGAAATCGCTGATTTTCTACAAGTACAAAAGTTCTTCACTCTGCATATTATTAGACATGGTAGGTTGGTTACCAACACCCCATCATGTGCGATAAGATGGACTGGAAACCAGTTGCTCAGCGGATCTGTTTGCATGAAAACGCAACCTGAAATAGAAAAAAAACCTACTTATTTGGACCCCCCCCCCCAAAAAAAATCCCAATAATATTTTAAATGATATAAACAGATTTATTGGGTGTGGGGGATTGAGCAGTATTAAAAAAAACAGTGATATAAAAAATATCTAGAAGATAGTTTGGTACGTTTAAATAAAAAGGAGAAAAACATTGTCCGAACACGTCCAAAAGATGTGTCGTATTTTTATCTGCTTCCATCTAACATACAGTGTTTGTTTTTAAGACATCCTAATAACATAAATCACACATTCTAATTGCTTTAATATTGTACTGTAGTATTAATTTCATCAGATTCATATCGTACACCCGATTCAACCCTGGCTCTCATAGCAACGCGCACATGAGTAAACAAAGCGTGACATCATTTTGTCGTGGGTCTTTGGAGCGACATGCAGACACTGAGTTTCAACACCGTGTACATGTACATGTACATGTACCTTTCTTTCTATGCATTGGCCTACACTACACCGCCCAAGCATGGGGGTTAATGGTACATGATATAGTATAATTCGCTCTTGTATCGCGATATTGGAACAAACGCGGAGAAGTTGAACAGGTGAAGGCTTCCCATTCACATCGCAATAACGTCTCCGTTTTGAACAAAAAAAGTTACGTAACGGAGGACTCTACGAACAGTGCGCTGCACCCGTTGTAAAACAAAGACAGTATCTTGGAAAGCAACTTGATTTCATCCTCTACAAAGAAACTGGTGATCAACCG